TTTTATAATTTTATAGAAAAGCATTTAACGAGCTGGGAAACATTAAAGCAGACCGCAAGAGATTGTCTGTCACAGAAAGAGAGAGAGAAAGAGAGAGAGACAGTTAAGAAGACAGAGCTGCATTCGGGAAGCCAGACAAAAGCTGCTTGCCATACAACCAGCACAAGGTACGGCACGTCTTAAAATTCAAATGCCCCAAGCGAATCGAGGTAGCGCAGTCTTCTGCGGCCCAAACCTACGCTAAATACTGCGACAGCGACAGCGACTACAGCAGCTCATTAATAGAAAAGGAAAACAAGTAAATGCGCTCTAATTACACGTGCTCGACTAGGGTATACCCTACAAAAACCGATAAGCACACACAGGCAGTATAAATGGTATTGGATGTTTATGATGCGATACTTATGAAATTTTCAGCTCTTAAAGATGGCATACAAAAGTGTGTGTGTACAAAAGTCCAAGGCTGTGCCTACAAGAGTGTGGGGGGTTTTTTTTTAATATTGTGGAAGGAGCGGAGAAATACCATCCAATTTATGCCAAATTTGTTGCCTCTAGCTCTTATATGCTTCGAGATATAGTCAGACAAACGGACGGACAGACAGACAGACAGAGAGACAGACAGACGGACAGTCAGACAGTTAGACGGACAGATAAAGATATCTGACTCGACTCGACTGATAAGCTATAAAATGATATATGTATAAATTGCTTCAGATTCCCTAAGTCTCACACACTTGATTAACTTCGGAGCTTATAGTCCGATCCTTATGCAATCTTCATAGCTTAAATATGGCAAAAATGTGCACATACCAAAGCGCAAGGCTCTACCTACAAGCATGAGTATTTTTCAATTTCGGGGCAAATGGGCGAAGGTATCAAAAAAGTGAAATATTTAGAATATGTAAGCTCTATACCAAGTTAAATACCCTTAGCTCCTATATTTCTCGAGTTATGCTTAAAGAATAATGAACAACAATCGATATTTATCGATTTTATGAAAATGGAAGAAAGTATCGAGCCAGATATGATAAATATTTCGCTGTAGCTTTCAGACACGGCAGGACGCGGATCGAACATAGATCGAGTCATGTTACGTACAGGTGCACAAAACCAAGATACCCGTTTTTAACTCAGTATACAGGGTATTCGAAAACAAAAGCAACAACAAGCGCAAAGATGAAGCGGATGCCCGTTTCGCAGCGGCAGCTGTGTCTCTCTGTCTCTGTCGCTGGCCTCAGGTCCCAGGTCCCAGGTCTCAGGTCTCAGTCGTGCGCTGAATCTCTGACCAGTTGGTTGTGTTTATGCCTCGTATTTAACGCAAAGAAGTAGCTCAAAGTGATAACAAAATACAACAACAATCGTAAAAGTAAAAAAGCAAAAACAACAACAGCAACAAAATGCGTTGCCTGGCATTGAGCGCGTTGTTTGTTTGCGTTGTCATCGCCGGCCAGTGCCAAATTACAGGTAGGTAGATTTAAAAGAAGGCATAAAATATATATATATGTATGTGCATGTATATAATACGACTTACCTGACTGATTCACACCTGGCAGCTGGCTACAGGAGCGAAATTGAGATAACGCCAGCGCCGGATGTGGAGACAACGACCAAGAAATCTGGCTGGTTCGGCGGCTTCAAGAAGTTCTTTGGCAGCAGCAGCAGCAGCAGCGACGCCGCCAGCTCCACCAGCTCCACAACAACAACAACATCGACAACGACAACAACGACCACAGCCAAGCCGGCCCAAAAGCTGCCGCCGCTGGTCATTTCACATGCGCCGCTTATGCCGCTGGGACCGCGTCCGGATACGCCCAGCTCATCGCCCTTTGGCTCGACGCCCGCACACGGCCCACAATGGCCGGCGGCGGCACAGCCAACGGCAGCCAAGCAGCCGGTGCTGCCAACTGCGGGGACAACGGGACGCCTGGGCGCCGCTGGCACCGCTGGCACCGCTGGCGTCGCTGGCTCCTCGACAGCGCCCAATTTGCCGCCCGGCTTTGCGCCGTATCGTCCACAGAAGCCGCAGCCGAGCGGCTTTGATTTGAGCTACTCGGGCGGCGGCGCTGCGGGCGGTGGCGCTGCGCCACATCCCGGCTTTGGCTTGGCGCCGCTGACCAGCAGCACCAGCACGACGAGCACTACGACGACGACGACCACACAGCGACCGCGTACGAATGTGCAGCCGGGCGGCATTGATGTGCGCTTTGGCAGCTCGACGACCAGCACGGTGAGGCCAGCACAGCAGAAGGATGAGTTTCCCACATTGCCGGTGCCGCGACGACCCTCGTTAAAGGAGGATTATCCGGCATTGCCTGCGCCAAAAACGCCCGGCTCGCCAACGCCGAGCACACCAACATCACCATCCGCCTGGCAGGCGCCGTTGCCGACGCCCGTGCATCCAGCTGTGCCGGCTGTCAGGCCAGCTCCGGCAGCTGTTACGCCCGGCAACCCAGCTGGCAACACGGGTGGCGGTGGTGGTGTCTCCTTTGTGCCGCACACGGCTGGCTCCACGACAACTGTGCGTCCGGGCTTTCAATCCACGGGTAATTCGGTGGCCACCGATGATGAGATACGCCAGCTAACCGAACAGCTGTACACGAAGGAGTCCAACAGCCAGCTGAGCCACATTACTGTCAATCTGCAGGGACGCACACGCTCCATTGACAGCGGCGATGAGGCGCCGCAGCCGTAAGTAAAAAGAAAAATATATCGATTTCCTGATGCAGCGCAACCAAATGCAAATGATTTCCATTGGCAGGCTGCTGAGCGTGGATGCCAAGGCCTTGGAGCCGTCGACCATTGCTAAGATGCGGGTGCTGTTCAACAATTACGAGCAGGACACGCTGGTCAATGAGCATGTGACCGCCAACGAGCGCAAGGAGGAGAATGAGTTCCTTGATGCTGTGATGGCCACGAGCGTTATGCGGCAGGCCATGTTGTTCCTGCAGCAGAAGGGCCTGGTTACGCCCGATCCGAAAACGCATCGCGATCTGGTCAAGGAGCTGTGGTTCACCCAGTATTCGCGCGGACAGGGCAAAATTGGTAGCTCCGGTTTCGAGCATGTCTTTGTGCACGAGGTGAAAAACGGCACCATCATTGGCTTCCACAACTGGGTCTATGTCAGCGAGGAGGAGCAGGCTGGTCGCTTCGACTACAAGGGTTACATGAAGGAGCAGGACATTGGCACGGTAAGCCTAGGCGGTATTCAAGCCAAGCAAACACATTACACACTTTATCTCATCACGCCTTGCAGAAGGGCAAAGTGCTGAAGGTGCGGTTCGCCCATCAGGGCCTGAACAAGCCGGTGGACACCATGTTCATTGGCACCTCGCCGGAGCTGGAGCTGGCCCTGTACACTGTCTGCTTTCAGCTGCGTCCGGATCGCACCTGCCCCGTCTCCCTGGGCAACAGCAAGTTCGGCATTGTCACCTATTCGTGGCGCTACAGAGGCAAGAGTCTCATTGGCAGCGCCTATCCTGAGATTTAAGCCGCATGCCACAGCTTACCGCACCTTTTTTTTTGTCTTTATCTCCCTCTCTCTCTCTCTCTCTCTCTTTCTCTATCTATTCAGTAAACAACTTTTTTTTCTTTTGTGAATAATAAATAAATATTATAAATTTACATACGCTTTGGTGCAACAAAAAAGAGCGCTCTTTGAATGATTGAATTCCGATAAAAGTTGCCTGTTGCCTGCACAAACTATCGATTACAATTTTCGATACCGTTCGATTGAGTATTGCATCAATAGTATCGGATTGCTTGCTGGCCAAAAATTAGCATGCATAGAAAACAGTGCACTATAACTACAACATTTTGGCTGGTTAGCAAACTTTTTAAAACTTTTTTTTTATTATCGTGATTTTAAAATCGTGATTAGGAAACAAGCATTTGATAACAAGCTCAGTAGTTGATAACAATATGGCGATTATTTACGTGCAAGTACTTGCAGCGATTAATCGTTGAATATGCCATCGCTGGGCACATCACTAATCGCCAGTCTTTCTAGAGTTTTCAGCTGACAAGTACGTACGTCTCGAACAAAGAATAAGCAGTCAAACGATTTTTATTAATTTGAAAAACAAGTCAACAAAATATAGTCGCAGTTTTAATCAAATTTAAGACCCCGACAATGGATTTCGGTGCACTGCTGCACTATGCCAAAAAGAATAGCGATGCAGCCACTAAAGAAGAGGTTGGTTTTGTGTGTATGGGTTTACTTTCGCTTAAAACTCCTAAATACGGGTAAGATGCACTTTTATTGCTAATAACACGAAATGGTAAACAAAAGCGCTCTGCACATATGGTAAGCACTACGCCACAACCTACTGTGCCAACTGTGTTTATCTTTAACGGGCAGAATAAGCCACCAATTGGGTCATTCAATGACCCCAAAATGTGGTGTGTGTTTGTTGTGTGTGTGTGTGTGTGTGTGTGTGTGTGTGTGTGTGTGTGTCTGTCTGTGTGTGTGTGCTGTCTCAGTGATAGTAAGGGGAGCAGGGGGGTGGATAGGGGGTTTGTTTTGGTGGGGCAGTTGTCCAATCTCAACAAGTGGCTCACATTTCTCTATCCCTTTGAAGCAGGGAAAATACTATAGCACCAAATATGCGCCGCCGAAAAAGGAGAGCAAGGAGAGCAAACAGCTGTCCAGCAATATACAGAAATTCCTGAAGAAGCGCGAGGCGGAGGAGGCGGATCGCAAGCGACAGGAGCGCGAGAAGCTAAACAGCCTGCTGGCCATGCGTGACGAGAAGTCCAAGAATAAGATACGCAAAATGTTGAAGGTCACAAAATCGGCGAACAAATCGGTGCTGGAGGATGCCAAGGACTGTGATAATATGGCGCTGGGCGCCGGCGATCAGCCGGAGGGCGATGACTATGGCTATGTGTCGACCGAGGCGAACGCCTTCTATCAGAAATACATTGAGAAGGTCAAGGATGTGCAGGAGGATAAGGGCTTTGCGCCCAGTCGTCCGCAATCTGTACGCGATCTATCCGGCACCAAGGAGCGCGTCAAGGCGGCCATAACACGTGAACGGGAGGAGGCCAAATCGCATACACGCCAGCGCATCAGCCACGGCTCAACGCCGCGCTCCACAGACAAAGAGCCGCAGGTGGCGCGCGCATATGGCAGCGCGGACAAGAAGCTCTACGATCCGGATGCCGAGCGGCGGGACGAGGAGCGCAAGAAGCGCGAGGAGGAACAGAAGAAGGCGAAAGTTAAGCGACCAGCGCAGCCGCCGCCCATGGACTTTCAGGCGCTGCTGCGCCTGGCCGAAAAGAAACAGCACGAGCCCGTCAACATTGCCATGCCCGAGAAGAAAAAGGAGCCGGAGCGTCTGCTGTCGGCGCGAGAGAAGCGCGAACAGGAGGAGCGCCAGCGATGGAAGGAGCAGCGTGCCGAGCGCGATCGCCTGCGCGAATCGGAGGCGAAGGCCAAGGAGCAGCGCAAAGAGAACGGCAACAGCCAGCAGCGCGTCATGCCGCCAAACGGACGCATACCCAAGCTGAATAAGGCGCCACCCGCCAAAGCTCCAGCAGCAACAGCAGCAGCAGGAGCAGCAGCAACTCCGTCCAGTGCCAGCGAATCCAAAGCAAAGCCCACAAGTGATAGCCTTAAACGGCCGGCGCCCACAGCGCCCAGCAGCTCCAGCGCCAAACTCAGTGCAAGTACAAAGCCAGCCAGCGGGAGCGGCAGTGGGAGTGGGAGTGGCAGCGGCAGCAACGCCGCAAAACGTCCGCCCGCGGCCAGCAGCGGGACAAGGCCAGCGTCAGCTGGATCTGGAGCTGGAGCTGGAGGTGGAGGTGGTGCGGTTGCTTCTGCTTCTGCTTCTGGCGCGGCCGCCAGCTCGAAGCCCAGTGGAAGTGTGCAATCTCGTAATCCCTATGCGTCTGTCAATAAGAATGGCGGCACGCGTGAATTTCCGCCGCGAGACGCCTCCAAGACGCGAGCATTTCCGCCCGCCGATGCCCAGCGCCAGCCCAACCGCAAGCCGTTGCCAGCCGATGCCCGTGGACGTGGTGGACCAGCCGCCGGACGCAGGCCAGCCGAGCCGGGCAACAAAAGTGAGTGCCGTTTCAAGAATTAGAAGCTGTTATCTAACTATGATTCCCATAATGTTTAATTCAATTGTAATTAATCATAAGCTAAATAGAAATTAATCTTTTTGCAATTAATTTTCCATTTCCACTTTTCAAATTTCATTAATTAATTAAGTTGTTCATAATTTTAAAGTAATTTTCGAAAAAATTGCCAGGCTTTCTTGAGCTTTCCAATTAGTTTCAGTTAAAATTTAAAAAGCCTCTAGCTTAGTTAATTAAAATTTAATTAATTTGTGCGGCTGAGACCTTAAGTCCAAAATAATTGATTTTCTAATAATTACAAGGCCCTTCTATTGTAATTACTTAAGTAATTAAATGTAATTGGATCGGTTTAATTATAGTTAACTAACCTTAAATTTGCAATCATTTTGCAGGACGCATTTATGATGAAGATTCCGAATATGACTCCGAGCTGGACGACTTTATTGACGATGGCGACTGCGAGGAGGATATATCATCGCATATACGCGACATCTTTGGCTATGATAAGCGCCGATATCGCGATCTTGACGAGGATGATGCCCAAATGGAATCCAGCTTTGCTCAAGTGCAGCGCGAAGAGTTTATCAGTAAGAAATTAGGTGCGTATACCCCAAAAAAATGCTCAGCTCTCGAGCGGCTTTGATTCGAATTATCCTCGTCTTTCGGCAGGTTTACAAGAGGATTTGGAGGATATGCGCATGGAGGCGATGCATAAAAAGCGCAAAATGGCCAAAAAGCGACCAACGCGCATCGACGACTAATTCGAACCCCCCGGCCCCGCCCCGCCCTCCTCCGCTACAACTTTCCACACACACACACACATCTCAATACTGAGCAGCGCCCCCTTGAAAGTCTTCCCTCTCTCGAGGCACACACACACGCACATATGCCCCCCCCCCCCCCCCCCCCCCACAGAACCAAATTGAAGTTCAGTCCGAATGCCTTCGTTTTATCGGGCGCTGAACTTTTCCATTGGGATCAAATTATGTGGCGCTGCTTTTAGTTAATTTGTTAAATTAAATGCAATAATTTTGTCCTCTTCGTTTAGATACCTTAATTTGGTGCCGTAGTTTAGTGCAAGACCAAAAACCTTTATGCAATATATAAACACACCAAAAACAAAAACGAAATTTCATATTTTTGCTAACCGTTCAAATTTATTGTACATTTATACAAAGCCATTGCATATCTCCATTATGTTTATACACTTTGTTAGGCCTTGTTGCGTGCCGTATACTCTGTAAAACTGTTCCTCCATATATCAGATATATATATATATATGTATATATTATATACATATATACTGTCAGGGAACCCACGCGATACTCCCAACTGCTGTCAACAATATACACGAAATTATCAAATTTCCAATGAATAAATTTTTTCCAATTCGATCTTAATTCAGGCCGCGGCTAACACAGCAGTCGATTTGAAACATATATATTCTTGATATTTAGCCAAGTCCGTCAGTTGGTTCGCAATCGGATCGCACCACTATATCATAAGTATATCTATCCTATTAAGGATCGGTCGCAAACGAAATGCTTGCATGACAAACCTTTCTTTTTTGTTCTATAAAATATGTGTCGCATTTACGACTTCTGGCCAAATCTATAGCATATAGATGTTTGGGCAGAATCGGATCGAAGATACATATCTTCAGCAATTCGTCTTCTATAAAACCATAAGCCATATGCAAGGTTTTTCGATCTTTAATATCCAATCTTTTTTTTTTTTCTTTTATTATCTACCTTATGTGACGCATTTCTTATAATATGATTTTTATGATTATGTTAATTTACACGAAATTTTGTTTATATATAATTTCTGGCTCTATTTTATATTTATTGATAGAAAGTTCTCAGGGTTTTGAGCTACAAATTTTTAAAATGTTCTTTTCATGTTTTTTTAATCAATTAATTAAAACATTTATTTATTGTAGTTAGCTTGTAAAAGCTGTGATAAATGCGTTTTCTTGCAGCTTTTTAAGAAATCCGACTCGGAGCGTGTCAAAAATACGGACTTACGGATATTTTTCTAATACTCCCGGAATTTTTTATTCTCTCTCTCTCTCTCTCGTTCTGTTTCTCTTTCGTGTGACTAACAATATTATCCCTTTAACCAGGTCTTATCTTTCTGTGATTACTTCTGATCTTATCTTTCGAACAGGCCTTTGGTTGAGCTGTAAAAGAAATTTGAAGCACTCGACCCCAAAATAGATAAACTCAACCTTGGCAAAGTGTCGGGTTGAGCCCTTTGAACTAGGCTAGAGTTGGCAAATTTGGTATGTGGCTAGACAAATACCAGATGGAGTACAATTTATTGAACAAATGTACACAAATTGTCAATAAGCAGCGAATGAGTGCGTGTGCGTGTGTGTGTGTGTGCGTTCCAGTTGAGATGTGGCATCAATTGTCATTGGAGAGCTCAACGACAACGGCGCTGCCGATGCGTCGATGATCGCAGACCGGCTCCGGTTCGGTGTCCATGTAGCCAATGGCCGTTTGGGCCGAGTATGCCTTATTTTTGGGCAAAAAGTTAACCTTGTGGCCGAGTCTGAGCAGATGATTGATCGTATGATTTGGCACCTCCGGTTCCGAATCGACCACCATCGGCGCCAGCTGATGATGCAGCCGGCCGCCGTTGACCGCTTCCTGGATGGGTTCGTGTAGCACAAAATAGTGCAGTATGGTTTGGGCGACAGATGTGGTGATTCTGGAGCCGCCGGCGCCGCCAACCACCAGGGCCACATTGCCGGCATCGTCGAGTATAATGCTGGGGCATGTGGAGGACATGGGTCGCTTGCCGGGCTTAATATAGTTGGCCGGACTGGCGGGTATGCCATAGCCATTTGCCAGACCCGGCGTCGAGAAATCGTCCATCTCATCGTTCAGTATGAAGCCCGTCTGGCGGGATCGCACCTTGGCGCCCAAATGGCCATTAATTGTGCTGGTCACCGAGACGGCATCGCCATTTGGCGCCAGCACCGAAATGTGCGCAGTGCCATGGTCCTCGACATTGCTGAAATTGGCGCCATAATAGGCCATATCCTCAAATGTGCGATCGTCCAATATGAGCTTGCGTATCTCGGCCGCAAAGTCGGGATCGATCAGACTCTCGTATGTCTCCTGCACGGAGGGCTCATAATGTATGTCACCCAAATTGGTGCGATGCCCGTACGCATGCTTGAAGGTCTCAATCAAACGATGCCAGTACTTGTCTCTGCTGCTCGTATACATCGGTTCCATGACGTTCAAAATAAATGTCAAGACGGCGCCGCTGCTTGGCAATGGCGAGGTGAAGAGTTCATGTCCATTGTCGAAGCGAGCGCGCAGCGGTTCCTCCCAGCGCACTCTGTAGACAGAAAGAGCAAAGCATTAGTTGCACAAACGTTCCAGCTGCATTTTCACATGAACAAAACTAAGTTTGATTTTCACAGCCACTCAACAACAATTCAAATTGCGCGCCACTGTGTGGCAACGCCACGTCAACAACATGTTCACAATATGTTATCGATTAATAATTAGTGCGGAGCGATAAATCGTGCTTATGCCTAACTGTCATTTGTATCGAACAAGCAGATTTAGCTTAAATATTTTAGCAGACACAACTAAAAAAAAAAAAACAAAAACAAAACGGATAAAAAACTCACTCGTAGTCCTGCAGATCCTTTTCGGTCACAATGCCGCCCATTGACTGGATATCCTCGGCCAGCATGCGGCCAATGCGACCGCCCCGATAGATGACCTGCGCACCCTCGGTGGCCACAATTTCCAGGGTATCGGCGAGCACGCGACGGTACATGATCTCGCCCTCCTTGTAGGGATTATTGGTAGCCGGATTTATGAATATCTCTGCCATCGAGATCTCGCTGCGTATAATGTCCTCATTGTTGGCCAAGACGCCCGCTAAGTAGCGTGAGACCAGAATGCCACGCCTACACATCTCAATGGTGGGCTGAAAGAGACGATCCCAGGGCAGCTTGCCGTACTTATCATGCAGCCGCCAATAGCCATAGATCTCACTCGGCACAGCACAGGATAAAGCGCCTGCCACGTTCGTTTGGCCAACAAACATGTCTTGGGTGGCCGCCGCCGGCGCCGTTTCGCGCGCAATCAACGCCTCCACGTGGCCCGTCTCCTTGGAGTATATGGTGGCCATAAAGCCACCGCCCACGCCCAGACTGTGCGGCAGGACAACGCCCTCGCACAGCATTGTCGCAATGGCCGCATCTGCGGCAGATCCACCCTCATCCAATATATTGCCACCAATCTCGGCACAACCAGCGCCATTGGAGGCCACAGCACCAATGCGACGACGCTCCGGCTCGCCGGCCAGACCAAAGATCAGGCCCAAGGTAATGCCCACAATGGCCAGCACCAACAGTATCCAAACGACGGCGAATGTCTTGCAGCAAATGCTGAACAATGTGAAAACGAGAAAGATTCAGATGTAGGCTTAAGCTGAGGACAGATTCCCTAAACGCATGCTCCACTCCAGGGCCCCATCGGACCCCTAACATATCATATGCTGCTGTTCTAGGTATTATCGGTTGAATATTGAGTTCATGAATCAAAAACAACTTTGATTTTTTTCCAGATATCTTAAGCAAAAGAGGCTCAACCCTTGCATAGCAAAAAGATCTTAAAAAAGGGCCGATTTTCATAAAAGAAGACATCCCTTCAAGCAGTATCCAATGCTCCTATGCTCCTTATATACAAGCAGAATCAGACCTATGTATATATCACATTAGCTCTCTTGGGAAAAACTGATTATTTGTTGGCTGAAAACACTTTTCTATATAAAAGTATAGCAAAATATTGCACAAATGGCATCTTCAGACCGAAAATGTTAATAATATCTATAAAGTTCGCTCTATATTAACCATATAATAACGGCTCACTTCTCACACTTAATTCCTTTTCAAGTCCAAAGCCCGTTTCACATTATTTCTCGAACAAATTTCACTTTTCGACTTCTTTACTTACGACATTTTGTGTTTGTTTTTGTTATAAATTAAATTAGGTGAGTTAAAAAAAAAAATGATATTAATTATGCGTTGGACACGCGAACCGTTTACTATATAAGAAGAATTCAATGGGAGCCATGACTTTTATATGCGTCTAACGATGTCCATGCTCATATCCGGCGAGCAGCACGTTGGATAGTTGAGATATCGAGGGATCGAGATAAGACGTTTTAGATAGACACGGTCTGTTTCTTGGCTCTAGCCGATATTTTGGCTACGTCATGGCGCGATTTGCGGTAGAAAGTGGGTTTTGCTGATGGCTGACTAAGACGACTGGGGCCAAAGACCAAAGGAGTTTGCCGACAAATGCGTAAGTAACAGATATTTGTGTGCTTGAACCTGAACGTCTAATCAAATCCATAAGACTTTGATTATATACCAATATATATGCATTATCTGTGCGCTGATAAGGGCCAATCGTGAATAAGTTAAGGTCAAAATTTCAAATAGTAATTGGAATTAGGCGTTAATCACCTCACAGATGTTAATACATACCAACATTCCATTATTATTACAAATCAGTTCTAAGTTTATCTATATATATATATATATATATATATATGTTTTTAAATTAGGCGTTTCATGCAGCAGCTGGCGGCACAAATTAATTAGTTTATTAGTTATTTTTAGGCAAACGAATCAAGCATTCGGGCTTATGATAAAATTCATTTTTCTGCACAGCTATTAGACTTTGGTCACGTACGTAAAGTACATGCTTAAGCGTTAGCCAAACATAATCTATCGTGAAAGCTATCTCCATATTTTTGTTTTTTTTTATACTTTAACTCGGTTTCAGTGCATATTTTGTGGTGTTACATTTGAGATCCGTTAAATGATTCAATTTAAACGTTAACGGCTGTGAATCTTTGGGCGCTGCCCAACATTTAAATAACCTAATTTCCAGCACTTATTGCGTGGGTGGTAGCCCGATTATTACCGGATAGCTTGTAATCGATAACTCTTGAGCACTCTTTTAAAAGCTAAAGGTCATATCTCATATTTTTGAATAATTTATCGCCAACAATTTAAGGCGCAAAAACAAAGTTTCAAAAATATCGGTAAGCAACACATCTGCTTAAAATTTCGCTTAAGAGTACAACATTATTTAATGGAAAGTTTGTAATGCATTAAATTTTTACATTCTTATATAGTTGACTTTCGTTTACAATTGTGCACAAAGTTTCGTTACTACAGGGCTGCATAGCTACTGGAAATAAACACAACAGTTCGATAATATTGAGTACATTAGTGTTGACTAATATTGCATTGTTTATTGGTAGTCATACAACATTTATTTAGAAACCTGTAATTTAATCATATTTTGAGAACCTCAATTTATTTATGACAGAAATCCATTATTTAATATTTTTTGAATAATTAAATCATATGTGAGCAACGGTTTCTTGTAAATTTCAAATAATATTTACGATAGATTTAAATTACCAACGGCTAATCGATAGCACGGAAATGTAGCCAGTGGTTGAAAACACTTGCTCAAAATCATATATAGTTGCGCGTATTTATCGATATATGCGACACATCGATGTACTTTTAACATCCCTAATACAAATGCATACATATGTATATGCAAATGTCTTCTCATCTGCTCGTATGTGTTGTCGGTTATATGTGTGCGCGAAGTGATTTTTTTTTAAGAAGCGAAATCTAATTGGAATTAAATAATATAAAGTGAAATGGCATATAAAAAAAAATAAATACCAAACCGCGCGTCGGTCGACCCCAAAAAAGGATCTGCATATGTAAGTGTGCTTGCGGAATGGGCAGGGGCGCAGTCTCAACAACAACAACAACAACAGCAGGAGCGGCACTGCCACTAAAAATGCATATGTGTGCGTGTTTGTGTGTGTGCGTGAAAACTGAACAAAATGAACGCGTCTGCGCCTCCAACGTAGCTGGAGGAGATGCACAACAACTCTTTGGCCTTGGCTAAGACTTAAACTAAAAGAAATAAAACAAAAAAAAAATAAAAAGAAGCATATCCCGTTGCAGTTCCACACACAGACGCAGCATACAAACGCATGAGAAAGGGCAAAGCAGCAGCAGCAGCAACAACAGCACGCAAGCACAAACACACACAATTACAACTACAAGTGCAAGTGCAGTCAGTGGCAGCACAAGCAAAGCATAAGAACAAAACAGAAACACAAAACTGAAACTGAAAACCTTTCAAAAGTCGTGATGCGCTCACTGCTGCTATTGTTGTTGTTGTTGTTGCTGCCGTTGTTGTTGTTGCTGCCGTTGTTGTTTTCGACGTTGATGATTCGTTGACTGCTGCTGTCGTTGTTTTTGTTGTTGATCCAGGATGCAGAGAGCGCGCATTTGCTCTCCTGCATGCACACATGCACATGCACATGCACATGCTCACACCCTTACTCACACACCTTTACAGGCAGGTCAGGGCGACGCAACGCAACGCACAACTGGCGCTTCTTACATAAAAGCTCAAGCTCCAAGCCATACTCAAAGCTTTCGCTCTCACCATAGTAAGCAGCGAGCAGCAGCAGCCGAAACAGTAACAACAATAAGCAAGGGGGGAGCAGCTGGTGCAGCTGCTGCTGGCCGTAGCTGTAAAATGAGCGTGTTCGATGATTTTCAACGCTTGTGGATGCAACGGTTTCCACAAAGCTCTCTATCCGACGACTGGGTGCAGGATGTGCGCGGCAGTCTCGAGCGGCACAAACTGAAAATTGCCGAGCTGGGCAAGGAGCTCGAACAGGAGACACTCTATGTCGAATATCTGGAGCGATTGCTCTCCGATGTGGAGAAATATCGAGAATCAGGCGGCGATCCGACAACACTGTTCGAATCAGCCACCGGCAATCCGGCAGCATCGCATGCACAGCAATCGCCCAGCAGCAGCAGCAGCGGCGGCGTCGCTGCCAATGGCGCAACTGTGGGCGCAGGCGCTGGCGCGGACAAAGACTATGTAAGTATTTGCAACTCTCTTTTAAGTTTATATTCTTATTGTTATTGTTATATTGTCCATTGTTATTGTCATTGTTATCAATTTGATATTGTTGGCTGATCTTGCAGCAAGAGTTGCGGCTGCTGATTGCGTTAACCGTAGGCATTTACCAGGCGCACAGCAATTGACAATCCGGGGTGGGCGCGCGCGCGCGCCATTCATTGGCCGTTCGCTCTTATCTATTGTTATCAGTTCGACTAGCGCAGCTGTTGGGCAGCTTCGTCGTATATTTGCTTAGCCATTGACGCCCAATGAAAGCCCCTGCAAATGTAGAGTGCTGGCCATGAACACGCTCAATTGAACCAGTAAGCTATTTCGGAACTAGTTATTTCTGAAACTAGCTCCACAAATGAACCCACGTTCATTAGGATGAACTAACTCTATGCCCAACAATGAATTAGATTTACCTAATTCCTGCTAGTGTTGCACAACGTTTAAACATGTTTTAAATCAATTTTGCAGTCATTTTAAACCAGTTCGTTTAAAGCGTACTTTAAAGCTGTTTTAATCTGCATCTTTTCACTTTTAATTTTCTTAAAACAGTGTTGCATACTGTTTAAAACAGTGCTGTAAAGCAGTTCGCAATGAATGTAAATTACAAGTTAGTCAACGGGGGGTGGTTCAGCAAGTCGAAGCTGCGGATGAATATACGCTAGCAAGATTTAGTAGTAGTTGTGAACTAGTTCATTTTGAAGATTTTGTCCTATCAGGTGGCAGCAATGACAACGGAGCGGTTAATTTAACTTTTACCAGTCTTGCGCTCGAAACCTCAATTGTAGACCGTGATCAAGGCTCAGACATTTTGAACTAGTTCATTTATGGGATTCTGCTTACAGGACGTAGTAAAATAACCAGTTTAGACTTCTGTATTATTGAGCACCATAGCGCTTATTTAGGCTTATCTGTTTTTGCTGACATTTTAACTAGTTCGTGGAATTGATTTTAATTTCACAGGCCGTAACTATGGCATCGTGATCAAGGCTCAGACATTTTGAACTAGTTCATTTATGGGATTCTGCTTACAGGACGTAGTAAAATAACCAGTTTAGACTTCTGTATTATTGAGCACCATAGCGCTTATTTAGGCTTATCTGTTTTTGCTGACATTTTAACTAGTTCGTGGAATTGATTTTAATTTCACAGGCCGTAACTATGGCATCAGTTTAATTGTTGCTCCATTGAACGTTTTATACCTTTAAAAATTGTATATTTAAGAACGAAAGCAAATAATCCGTTCGACTCTAGCTTTATGCATCACTTAACGCCTAAATGGTTCATTTAGCTTTAGTCCACTTGAACTAGTTCATTCTACGTACTTTCATTGTGCACGTTGTAATCTAGGCATCTGCTGGTATTCAACAGTTGCCGCTGATGACGTTCCCTGTCAGCCTTTCCACTCCTGCTGTCCCCTTGCCACCCATACATGTATTCCTTATGCTTGTGTGTGTGTGTGTGTGAGTGTACGGCGTACGGGCTCCGTCCGTTCGTTTAGCTGCGTTCGTCTGTTCTACCAGTTCGATATCTTTAATTTTGCCCGTTATCTACGCACACTCATGCATTCATTCTATTCATGTTGTGTCTGTGTGTGGGTGTTTTTTTTTTTTTTTTGTGTGTTTCTTTCGGTTTTGCGCGTCGTCGTCGTTGACTCCGACTGACTCTGACACCCGGAGCAGCCGCCGTCGACGTCGCGAGCCGCGCCGCCAGTCGGCAGTAGTCACTAGTTTCGGTGAATAACAACATCCAAAGCGGGCCCAACGTCAACCGGTCAATGTTGTATGCCTGCCAGCCAGGTGGTGTACAGCCCTTCCCCCATACCCAACCCAGTCGCAACCAACTCTCCTCCGCACCCCGCCTACGCGGTCTACGCATGTGAAGCAACAAAGAACTGAACTGAACTGAAAGAAGTTCCATGCATATTTTTTGCATTTGCATAAAAAAGGAATTAAGTGAAAACAGAGATTAAAGTGCACAAATTACGTAAATCAAGACAAGTACAAATAATTCGAATGTCTTAAAGTGCGATTGTCTTGGCCTAAACCGTAATTTTGGCGTGTGTGTGTCGTGTTATTTTTTTTTTTTTAATAATTTTTTTTTAACGTGTTCGGTTGACTCAAATTTCGTGGTCAACGTCAACGTCTGCGTCGCAGTTGCCGTCAACATCGTCGTCGGTCGTCGCCGTCGGCGTCGCAGTCACCGTTGCCGTTTCGCCTTTTGCCTTAAATTCTTAGTTGTTGTTCTTGCAGCCAGCCGTAGGGCGGAGCTCGGCTATCAGTTGCTTCCCCACGTCTCGCTTCGTTTCTTGTCGTGTCGCTGCGTTGCGTTGCGTTCGCTTTTGCAATTGCAATTGCGTGGGCCACACACCAACAACAACAACAACAATAACAGAGAGCGAGAGAGAGAGCTCGCTTGCGGGAGTGTGGAAGAGGCGACAACAGTGGCGCTGCTGCTGCTGCTCGCGCTGCTGTAAGGAGCATGTCTTCCTTCAAAGAGAAGTTCAAATTATGGACCAGAGGGGTGCGTAATCAGCGTGCACACATATGCACTGGCCATGACTGTGTGTGCGTGCGTGCGTGTATGTGTATGTGTGCGTCTGCGGCAACAACAAGCCAACATGAATTTGTTGTATTTATCACAAGTTGAAATCAATAAACTTATCGCAAGCGCGCACTCACACACTCGCACACACAAAGGCCCAAACTATAAGATACCGTGTACCCAGTTTTGAGCTGCAGTTACATACATCATACATACTAGGCACAAGCTTCCTCTTCCCTTAACCTAATATTGAACCAATTAGCTTCGTTTGATCTTCGATATACTATAAATAAGCGATATTTATAAACTAAAGAGTGTTGTAAACTTAACGTACGTATGGAAATGTTATGCTAAGGACATGGCTATTTCGACTTAGACTTGTTGACGTTGCAGATGCAACCTTTTGCTTATTGCCCTATTTTATTCAATCTGAAAATCCGTTAAGAGAAGTAAATCGAAGCCGTAAAGAACATCACTCCAACGGACACACACACACACACGCACTCACAGATATATTTATACATTCGTATATCTGTTGATTCGTAGCGCCCTTCTTTTACAGTCTTCTTTAGGCCCACGACGACGACAAATCCAAATCTCTGCGCCATTCTTCGCATTGATAAGCAGCTTGTGCCGCTATCAGTAAAAGAGCTTGAACCAAGGCAGCGACTCACTAGACCACAGTAAAGTGCACTGCAAAGGCAGAGCACACAGAGAGAAAGACAGCGAGAGAAAGATAGAGAGAGAGAGAGACAGAGAGCTGAGGCGGTTTTGGACATATAATACATGTGTACTGCTTATGGCGCTTGTTAATTTGGCCAAACGTAATATTTGATTAAAAACGTTTGATTAGCAAACTTTTGTTATTGTTTTTTACTGCCCTGTTTGCCCCTTGGTATGGGAACAGGCAATACTTCTTAACCTTTAATGTAATCGCTTTGGTCATACATAAACACCTATTTTTCTAGGCCATTCTCTTGAATGTCAAGCTTAAACAAATACGATTAACTCTAGTTAAAAAAAGCTATTAAACCTTTTGTTAAGCCCAATTTTTTCTTACAATATACAAAAAATTTCAAAATTATAATTTATAATATCATTTTCATAGGCCAGTCTCCATACCTTTACATGTAAACGCATTAATTTCGGGCAAAATAGAAGGTAAACACGCCCAATTTGGCATTATGGCTTGCATAAGAATCAGGCACATGGTCTGTATGTAAAGCCAAGGCCTGCACCGCATTTGCCAAGTTGTCTGGGTTTAGCCTTGATTTTGCAAATATTTGGTGCATATATTTTTCAAGTTTCATGGCAAACGCATGTCAAATGCAAAAATTACTCAATTGTTAAAATTTTGCTTAAATTCCGTTCGATTTATAGCAACAAAATGTTAAGCAGCTGTTGCTAACATACGTGCGTTGAGTGCATGTTAAGCAACTGTAGGTAAATTGCTGTTGCTTAGAGTTGCATCTCATGTCATGATACAAGCACACACATACATACACATACGGCAACTGTGGGTGTATATGACTTAACATATGTATGTATGGATGTGCTTTAGCATTAACAGCGTTCAGGTTAACATTTGTATATTTCTGTGAAGCACTTGCAATTAACTTTTCTCGGAATAGTTTACAATTTGAACAACATTTCAATGGTGTTTACTGTTGTTGTTGTTATTGTTATTGTACAGCTTGGCGCCGCCGTTCATGATTCACATTCACACCATCTATTTGAGCGGCGTGTGTGTGTGTGTGTGTGTGTGTGTGTGTTGATTGAAAATATGCTAAATAATGGCGCACACGAGTGCCTTAGGGAGTGATATAGCGAGAGTGAGAGAGTGCGGGAACGCGAGAGTGCACCAAATTGCCAGGCTGCCAAAAGCTGAGCTCAGCTCTGCGACATCGCATGTGTCTGGCCAAGTGCGTGTGTCTGTTTGTGTGAGTGTGTGGCGCGTGTGTGTACGACCTTCGCCGTCAACTTTTATTGCACGCTTTCTTCTTCGCTTCGCTTGGACACATTCAAACACACACATACAACTGTTGCCGGCTGCTGTTTGGCCCAGGCCCACCCCCAACACACACACGCACACAGTCAGGCAACGTCTCTCACACACTCACACACACACACACACACACACATACGCACACAAAAACACACAGCAAATAAATAAGCTCACCAAATTCAATTTTGCTGCCAATTTTCTTAAAAAAACTTAAATTAAAAAGTTGCTCTCTTTTTTTTTTTTTTTGTAGTTTTCACTTTTTTCGTAGTCAAAAACAATTTGGCCAAAAAAAGGCGTTAAAAAAAAAAGAAAAAAAAAATGCTCCGATACACGCACACGTTCCACGCCAAGTTTGGCTTATTTGTCTGTTATTTTTTTTTCTCTCTTTTTCTTTCTTTTTTTTTGTTTTGTTGTTTGCTTTGGCTTTTGCTTGTTGTTGTTGTTGTCGCTTTTAATGGAACCGCTCAACGTGTTAGAGAAATGCGTTACGTGCTGTGCATGAGCAAGTGACCTGCTCGTGGGCGGAGAGAGGGAGAGGCAGACAGAGAGAGAGAGAGAGAGAGAGAGAAAGAGATAGAGAGAGGGGGCGAGCCATTCAGCTCGACTGGCTTGAAATGCTCTCCAAAAAAGCTTTTCAGCAATTTCTGGCGAGTTCTTTGCCATTTTGAGAGGATCTTTGAACTTCTCACTCTGCGCGCTGTGAACTGAATCAGTTGAGCCTGTTGACATTTGAACCAGTTCGCAATTGGGCGTTGACAATGTATTTAGAGTGCAGCGTATTTTATATGCAAATTATGATTAAATACAATTCAACTAGTTCATAGTAAGCTCTTTTAAGATATTCCAAATAAAAGACAGCACATTTTTCTAGTATATTTGTTGCTGCCGTCATTTTCTAAGCTTTATGTTAGTTAACAGAGGCTTTATTTAGAAATTGTTTTTTTTTCTAATCTTTCACTTAAAATTACTTATTAAAGAATTCTTATTTCCAGTAACATTTTTAACATTTCATTTTGACAAGAGGTTAAATGAGAAAAGGTCGTTTAACTTTTTATCGCTTTCCCAAATGTTTTTCATCGTTTTACGCATAAGCTGTCTCTTTTTGAAAACCTATTTAAAAAGTATTTGCATTTCCAGATAAATTTAGCAAACTTTCCGTTCGTTGACAAGAATTTTATTTGCATTTAGTTGTTCTTATCGACTTTGCTTATTTAATATAACTTTTTAGCTTGGCACTTTCGGTGCATTTTTCACTTCCACCCAACTTTTTAGCCACTTTCTTTAATCGTTTATCTAAACTTTGCCATTTGCTACAATTAAGCCATATTTTTTTTTGGTTTTTTTTTTTTTGTTCACGCTGACTAAGTTGGCAAGCACATCTGTTCTTTGGCATCATAAAAATTCCGTTACAACTGTTAACAACGTTTAGGCCGCATAATTATATCGAAAATTCTCGACTTGAACTAACTAACTAACTAAGTTTTTGCGAGTGTGCAGGAATATTACAGCTGAACCTGGACTCCCAACTAATTGGCGAGCAGTCCGGGCGCGTACTTGGAGACTTGCCATGTTTGTTAGCCTAGCAATCATTTTAGCCAGATCTTAGCCAGGGATCGTCTAGTCAGTCTTAGACGCCTTCTCTCACGGTTTACCCATCCGCCTATCCCGTGGTATAACTGGCGACTTGCTTTAATTGCCCAGGAACGGAGTCGATCTGGCCATTGCCAGGTTAATGGCAGGTTAATCTACGTGTCATTTCAGTCGCCTCTTACGACAAGCAATGACTAGCTGTGGAAGTATTCTATAGGCCGCTTGCCACACGGCAAGATTTGTCTCCAGCAGAATCTAACATATTGTCAGCTCGACACTGGGTGCAGGGTATCTTCCAGTCTGGCACTCCCGACTGGAGCACTCTTGCTCATTTGTTCACATTGTTATTCACATTTGCTCTTTTTGTTTTCTACAGAAATCTAGTTTGAATCTGCGCGAGGCGTCGAGTGCGTCATCGGCCAACAAGGACAAGGACAGGGACAGGGACAGGCTGTCCCTCAGCACAGACAACAAATACACACACACACAAAATGACAGCGGGGGCGGGGGTGGTTTGAGCTCAGCACCACCCACGGGCAAGCGCAGCATGACGGAGCACAGCTTCGAGCGCGAGGACAAAAAAGACAGCGGCAACGAGAAGGACGCGAACGGAGCGCTGCAGCAGTGCATCACCGAGCTGGCGGCCTCCATTGGCAGCGGCGCACTCAAAGCCAACGAACAAAGGCCGCAGCCAGCAGCTGCACACGGCGATAGCAACAGCAGCAGCAGGCAGGTGGCACCCGGGGAGGCGACTGGCATCCATGTGGACGCGCAGAAGGAGCAACAGCAGCAACAGCAGCAGCAGCAGTCGAAGCCGTTGCGCAAATCGACATCGCACTTTGTTACCGTCATCGAGGTGAAGGAGGCCAAAGACAAGGACCACGATGATGCTGGGCAAGCGCTGACGGTCAATGACCACCAGCCGACGCCCCCATCGACATTCGGACGTTATACGGAGCGCAGCAAGGCCGCCGGCACGGAGGCCACAGCGCCCCCATTGTCGCCATCAATGACATCGCCCGCCATGTCCGCCTCATCGTATGCCGCGCATCTGGAGGCCAAAAAGAAAATGCCACCCAGGTAAATGCAGGGCTTAACTAGCTTTGGAATGGAATTCTGGAAAGGGTCTGTCTATCGGCTATGCAAATTATTGGAGCTAGGAAAGTTCTCGAAATGCTGTGACACATTTAAAGTCCCATAGATTCGAGAAGCATCCAAAGTGGAGAAGGAAATTCACAATATATTTCGGGGATAAAATAAAGTTAGGAGCAAGGAAAATAGAAATTGGCAATGCACGATTGGGAAATACCCTGAGCAAAGCGCTGAGCTGCTCTTAAAATCACTCTAGCTTCCTTTTATATTACCCACACACACAAACAGATGCAGTGTCTGTGTCTGTGTCTGCCTTCTTCTATCAGTCCCAGACTATGTGAAATACGGTCTGAAATAACCTGACTCTCTGTTGTCCGATCTTTATGAGCTTTTCATGGCTTAACTAGAGCATAGAAAAGTGTTTCCATACTAAAGCGCAAAGCTCTAGCTTTAATAATTCGATTCTTCCGCCAATTTGCAAAAATTGAAATATGTTTTATCCGCATATACTATACGATAACCTACATACCAAGTCTGGTGTAAATAGATACTATTCTAGAAGCTACATGTCAAGTTTGGTGATTTTAGCTCTTATTATTTACCAAAATTGCTAAAAAAACAGAATTTCGATATCGATTTTTATCGATTACTTGGAAACGGGGCAAGTAATCGAATATCGGAACCAAACTCGATCTGCGCGGGCACTAGGAGGACCTACAGCTAAATTTTCAAGTCTCTAGCTCTTATAGGTTCTGAGATCATTGCGGTCATACATACGGACGGACGGGCGGACGGACGGACAGACGGACAGACATGGCTAGAGCGACTCGGCTATTGATGCTGAACAAGAATATATATACTTTATGGGGTTGGAGATGTTACATACATTTGCACAAATATATAACACCCTTTTTACCCATTTTCAATGGGTTCGGGGTATAAAAATATATACATGTATATATTTAAAAATTTTAAGGTCTTCAGCTTCGTAGTTGTCCAGTTCGATGTCAGCTAGACGTTAAGTTCTAGATCGACTCAGCTTCTGGCCTTGATACAGAATATGTATATATATATATATAGTTGATGGGAGCCCAGGTCTGCTTTAATGCGTCACATAATTCATGATAACATCATAATACCCTCTGCAAAGGGTATACAAAAGATGTTTGCTGATCAAAACGAACCATCTGAAAGGTGGCAAAACAGCGAATACCTGGCTTCGATCTGCTGTCGAGATGTGTTCTATAACAGACCATTAATTTCTCAATGTTGTTTCACGTATTAAAACCAACATTTGATTGCTTGCAGACCGCCGCCAAAGAACATACGACGCGTGGAGCCGCCGACCATTCCCAGCCAGCAGCAGCAGCAGCAGTTGTTGTCGTCGTCGCCGAAGCGGGAGACACCCTATGCGGGCAGTTCGATGCCGCTGCCGAGCAGCAGCTCTGGCGAGAGTCCGGCCAGTTCGCTGGAGCGCAACATCAAGCCGTCGGATATACTGCGGCAGAAGTCGTCGGAGAATCTGGAGTCAAAATATGCGGCCAATAGAAAGACAACGCCCGAGCTAAGCAAGCTGGCCAATACGCCCGAGCTGATGGAGGAGCTGGGCCGCAAAATGGTTGGCAAAACGGACAGCCTGGAGCATGCAAAACGCAGCGATGGCGGCGGCGGCGGCGGTGGCCAAAGTAGCAATGGCGGCAGTCTAGGACGCACTTCATCGACGCCGGCACGCGCTTTGACGCCAGCTGGTCGCGGCACTGTGGGCGCTTCGCCGACGGGCAGCCTCAACAAGACAGCCAAACTGGCCGCAGCGGACAGCAGCTCGACAAGCAGCCTGGAGAAGAAGTCGCGCGTCTCCCTGCAGGCCAGCGATGCAGAGCTGCCGTCTGGCAATGCACAGCGCAGCGTCGGCTCCAAGGAGTCGCTCGCATCCCAAGGCATTTCGGAGGTGGTGAGCATAAAATGCATGAAACCATGAAAGTCAAAATTTTGCAATCGTTTTCCGTTTATGCAGATCAAGAGCTACGAGTCGGTGTCATCGCTTAGCTCGGATAGCGCCAAGGCGGCGGCACAGCAGGCGGACAACGAGCCCTACTATGACAGCGTGCCGCTGGACAATGGCGATGGGGAGTATGTGTTCATAAAGCCCGGCCGCACCGGCTCCTCGTCTAGTCGCGATGATTTATCCACGCCGGGCAGCACCTTGCCCATGGCACAGTTGAGCAGTCAGACGAGCGTAACGGATCCCGAATCTCCAGGCCGTACCTCCAACTATGTGAACATTGATTATTTCATGTAAGCCAATGTCACAATTTCGCCTTCCTCCCACAATTCCAATTGTTTAATATTTTATTCTATTCGCAGTCAGAGCAACGAGACGCGCTCCAGTTCATTGGACAGCGATGGCGAGTACGAGGGTCCGCCCATATTGCGCACCATTTCGCATGATGAACAACAAACCACATCAACATCCACATCCACATCACAGACGCCCGGCGTCCTGCGCAAGGTGCGTGCCAATTGTGCCTAATCTCAACTAGGTTTTATGTTTTATGGCTACGGATTTGCTTACGATTTTCTTTTTCGTTTTTTATTTTCTTTCTTTCATACCACAACCTGCTGTCGCTATTTTTGTTGTTGCTAATGGCCAATAGCTAATTGCCTTTGGCTAATTGCAATTCAATTGGCATTCAGTGTTGCCCGCTGCAGCTGAATGATGCAAGCATTTCAGCTTTAATGACTAAGCCATCCAATCTTCCACTGGCCATTAACATATGCTTGACTTGACTAATTGATTTTAAATTTGCTTGCGTCAGCCGCGCGTGTCTCCAGTTAAATCTCTTGCTCGTCTCTTACGGCCATTCATGTAGGCCGAGTCCCAAATATCCCATCAGGCCGGGCATGCACATTTTTCAAGAGCGTAAAACATATTTTTAGGAAAACATATCAAAATAGTTTCTGGCTCAACTTAAATCTCAGTCCACATTCACTCAAATCGCTCTTATTCCGCCCAGTGTGGTGGATTTGCCGCAGAGCGTGAAACACGCCTCAAATAAATTCTACTTAAAATATTTTCTGTAATACGGCCTGCCCCTTTTTGGAATATTATTATTTAAATAATAATTTAAAAAATAAAATAACATGCTTTGCCACTTAACATTCTAAAATAGAAAAGTGTAAACAATATTTAAGGCTTACGATACTTTTGTTTCACGTCCATTTTTGCTTAACTGTTTTTTTTGTTTTTTAAATATAATATTTCTAATATTTATAGCAAAACTAATATTTGAATATTTACTAACCGCCATTTTTCGATTTCTTCTTGTCATATTTTTTTCCCCTTTTATTTTCCAATCTCTATTTTGTTCTTTGATTTGATTTTGTTTTATTTGTTTTTTTTTTATTTTTTACTTTCTCTCAACAGAACTTAGTTTCAGCGATACTCGTGAGTACCGAACACTTCTCCAAGCCTTAGTCTCTGAACCTTTTTTTTTTTAGATTAAAATTGTGTGTTTTTTCGTTGTTGTCGTATATGTGCGCTTATTATATGATATATATATCGTGTATATAGTGTATATACCTCTGTACATATTTATATATATATATATTTATATATTTGTATAGCTTTTAGCTGAATGCGCTTGTTCAATGTTCAATGTGATTGGTTTTATTTTCCTTTTGGTTTTTGTTCTTGTTTACCTTTGTTTAATAGCTATTTTCATAGTTTCAAAATTGTTGCCAACCACAATACACACACAGACACACACACAGACACACACACAGACACACACACAGACACACACACACAGACACGCACACCCATAAACATATATACCCTATTTTTTTGCACTATGCAACTAAATGTTTAGCCGAATTATCTAGCTTTTATGATCCACATGATACTCAAGGCCATATTTCTCACGTGCATCCCATTTTAGTTTTACAAAATAAAGCAAGTAGAATTGCTTTAGACGGGAGTGCCCGACTGGGAGATGCCCTGAACCCAGCTCCAATCTGCCCTCACAAACATTCTAGCTTCCCTCTATAAATACACATATATCGATGTATATATCTATATATATATAATATGATTAATTTAGGCGTTTCTTTCATTCAATATTCATGAAATTCTTAGAGCTTAAATGTTAATTCAACATATCACAAGGCTCGATTATTGAAATGTGTTCTACTTCGGAAGGTAACCCATTTCCCAGAAAGCTATCAAGAAATTGAAACATTCTTCATCTGTATTTAACATGCGACAACCTGCATACCAAGTTTTGTATATCTAGTTACCATATTTCTCGAGTTAATCGATATTTGTATTTGTATATATAGTCAGAATTCAGACATTCAGCCGGACAGACAGACAGCACGAATAATAATGTGTATCGTAAACATTTGTAATTAGTAAATTTAGCTCGCGATGACTCCATAAGAATGTCTAGATATAGTATATATTATAATTGTTATACACTCCAGTAAATAATAATGTTGCATAGTGTGTTTATATGCCGTCCTCTACCTATCTACATCTATCTGTCTGTCTCTTTCGTTTCTATGTATGTATAAACCTGTTCACGTTTTATGCCCAACTCCTGTACATATTTATCTCGTTTGTCCTGCTCCAAATATATATTATATATGTACATATATCCCATTTGCATACAAGTTTGGCTTTTTGTTTGTATATATAATATACATATATATATATATATTGGAAACGGTGGAAGGGTTTTTAGCTAGAGCACATACCAAACATCTGTAGATGACATTTACAATTTAGAAATTGGCATTTTATTACATTTTTCATATATATCCACATTCTACATACGCAGCTCTCGGGGAATGCGCGCGGCGCCAAAATACGTTCCATACTGAGCTCCATAATACACAGCGAGACGATCTACGTGGAATGCCTGAATAAGATGATACAGGTGAGTGTCATGTGAACTCTAATCTTCAAGCTGCTGATCCATTAATTCTCTCTCTCTACTCGATTTGCAGTACAAGCGCGCTATACACGCGACGCTGGGCACATCACAGCCTGTGATCAAGGAGGAGGAGGAGAATACGATTTTCTTTAAAATCGATGAGCTGCACGAGGTGCACACAGCCTTTCTGGGCGATCTAAAGACAATTGTGGCCCACGAGGGCGGCGATGTGCTGATCGGGGAGCCGTTCAAGCGTCTGGCGGACATGTTTGATCTGTATAGCGCCTTTCTGCATAACTATGGCCAGGCGATCGATACCGTGAAGAAGTGCAGCGCCAATAATCCGCAATTCAAGAAGATTGTTTCCACTATTGTGGTCAATCTGCAGACGGAACAATCGCTCACGCTGGAGGATCTGCTGCACAAGCCGGTGGCACGTGTCCAAATCAATGCGCTTGTCTTCAACGATCTGTTGCGTGAGACGCCGCCAAATCATCCGGATCATCAGCCGTTGCGGCAGGCCCAGAAGATCATACAAATGTTCCTCAATCAATTCAATGTGGTCAATCAGCGATTGCCCACTGAGTCGAATCGCAATCTGCGCCGCATGGTGCGCAATTCATTTATTGTGGAGCTGGTCGATGGGCATCGCAAGCTGCGGCATTTGTTCCTCTTCAATGATGTGATTGCGTGCGCCAAGTATAAGGCGCTGGGCAGGGATCGCATCGATTATGAGCTCAAATGGTTTATACCACTCAAGGATGTCAACGTCTACGAGGAGACCGATACGAGTGCCGACCTCAAGGAATCTAGTCCCGCGAACATATCGCAAGTGAAGCGCAATCTGCGCTCGGTGCGCGATCAGCTTATACTCGAGGCGAATGGCGTGCGCACCGGCGACAAATATCGCCGCAAGCTGGCCGATCTCGAGTCGCAGCTGGTGCTGGCCACGCCCAATCTGGTGCTGCGGCTGGGCAATAAGGCCAACAATAAGACAATGACCTTTTTCCTCAGCTCCGATTTCGAGCGCACGCAATGGATGGACTCGATTATGTCGCTCAAGGTGAATACCCTACCCAAGGCCAAATATCCCAAATATGTTAGCCAACAAATTGTATATACGTACTTAATATAAGGAATTACAACAATTGGAGATATATATACATATTTCCAAGTAAAAGAAAGCTTTTAGGGTTTTCAATAGATAGACATACATATAGATCCTGAGATCAGGCAGCGCAATATCCTAATGTATTATTTTGTATGTTATATTATATTAATTGAGATAAGCATAAAGTAGATATAAGTATAAAGTATAAAGCAGTTCGGTTAGAAGTTGTAAGAGATTGTGAAATTGCGCATTGTAGATTATCTAAGACGTATTTCAGAATAGCCTGTAACTAAGTTTTCATTGGCCAGAACATCTATGTAAAGGCTATAAAAACCTAGTTACAACTATTCTGAACTAAGTTCTAGATAATCTTAGACGTACTAACTCTCATAGAACCTAAGCTCGTCTAGAATGTGAGCAAAATATCAGCAGAGTTAACATTAAGTTATCTTTAGGTAACATTTCGCTTTAAGCGCTCTTTCCTTTAATTTTCATTTCATTTCCAATCTGTTTATTCCAAATCTAAGCAAAAATGTAATCTGCCTGGAGCCAATACGATCAACTCGCTGGAGGTGACCGCCTTCATTGTGGCCATGCAGAAGGGCATGAAGACTGAAATGGGCTCCTATCTGATGCGCAATACGAACGATGAGAGTCTGCTCGTTGGGGATCTGCATATGGGTGTGCAGGGCCTGCAGGGGCTCGAGCAGCCGGCCGATCTGTACATATGCATCGAGGTTGACTCGTATGGACATTATTTCCGCAAGGCCACCACCAAGATGATATGTCGCAGCCAGTCGCCGCTGTGGAACGAGAGCTTCATGCTCGAGCTGGAGGGCAGTCAGAATGTGCGTGTGCTGCTCTACGAGGCCAAGGAGCGGCCGCTGCTGCGTGCCAAACACATACTCAAGGTGAGCTCCAGTTGTGCCACATGCCACGCATGCCGCTAGCCAAAACTAATACTCATATTATCCGGCCACAGCTGAGCCGCAGCTGGCTCTCGGAGACGACACAAACGCGCAACATTAAGCTCAGCGAAACGCTAGAGCTGACCGCCAGCTTCCGTTTTGTGCCCGGCGAGCTCTGTCGCGCCACCACCAAGCCGGGCGCGCTCTTTGGTGCCAAAATGAGTCAAGTATTAAAGTGAGTTTTGATCGCATCAAAATAAAAATATCATATTATATAATATCTAATTTTCCCATCGATTCGCAGGCGCGAGAAACGCGACATTCCGTTTATCATCTGTGCCTGCATACGCGAAGTGGAGCGACGCGGCATGCTGGAGGTTGGCTGTTATCGCGTCAGTGGCTCCGCCTCCGACCTGGCCAAGCTGAAGAAGGCGTTCGAGTCGGGTAAAACCAATTGAGGCATGTGCACAACTAGTATTAACTATTAACTGTTTTAGATGCCTACGAGGCGGAGCAGCTGCTGCGCGAGGTGGACATCCACTCGGTGACGGGCATACTGAAGACATTCTTGCGTGAGCTGCCGGAGGCGCTCTTCTCGGATCTGCTCTATCCGCGCTTCTTCGAGACATTCAGCACGTTTAGCAACAACAACGAAGCCACACGCATCAATGAGCTGCTCAAGGTATACGAGGAGCTGCCGCAGGCCAACAAGGCCTCCATCAATCTGATACTCGATCATCTAATCAGGTAAGCACCCAGGCAAGGGCAACAATTAGGACCAAGATCTGAGCTATTCTAGCTATGTACCTCCGTCTGTCCGTTTGGTGGCATGCTTATTTCCCCTGCACGGTGTGCGAGGAGAGGGAAGAAGCACAGCTTATGTTTTTAGCGAAAGAGTTCTTGGCGCAGAGTTGAGGGTATCTTCTCGCACTCGCACATATTATTAATGTATAATTTCTAAATTGCCGCAGGGTGCACGAAAAGGAGGCGGATAACAAAATGTCGCTGCACAATCTGGCGATGGTGTTTGGTCCCACATTGCTGCGACCCGGACAGACGCAGGTGAAGCAAAAGGATCCACTGGCCGCCAGCACTGTGGATGTGATGGCGCAGGCGGGCATACTCTATTGCTTTCTGCAGGCGCGCATCAAAAAGGATTAAAGCTTAGCTATTGCTAAGACAACAAATATTTATATATATACAGACACACACACACACACAAAACATATGTATAACTAGAAATGGCCTATGCTTGAAACGCCGCTGCACACACGAAACCCGCACAGCCCAACAACACACACTTCTACAACTACACACATACACACACGCACACTCAAATGCTGAGGATTGTACATAACTGGCGCATAGCTGGCATAGGAATTTGCGTGGAGCTGCAGGCGATTTGTTAGCTGAACTAAGTAACTGAACAAAGTGCTCAAGGCGGGCCAAAACACAGCCACACACCCACACACACACACTAGATGTATACACGCGTAGAGACAGGTGTTCAACACTGATCCTCCCGTTGCTGGTCCTAGTCCAGGCAACGAGGCGTTGCGCACTTCCTGCTACTCCAAACACCCCAATCCCAATCAAGGCTTTTAGCTGCTTTGCTCGTCTACATATTTATAATATGAACTATATGCTTTACCTATACATATTTGAAATACAAAACATATTATACACAGATATATATATATATATATATATATGAATATCTATAAATATAAATATATATATATATTTATATAGATATATATATGCGAGCCCCTTTGTGCCCCCGCTTTTATTGCAACAATTGCAAATCATATTGCGAACGGATATTTGAGAAATGGTAAATATTTTCAATATTACGAGTACACACACACACACACACACACACACCCACACCCACACAGACGCACACACATATTTATATATATAAATATATACATGCATACTATAATAATTACTAATTAGTACTATAAATATTACTAAAAAAAAAAAGTTAAAGTAAAAATGTAACGTTTGCGGCAAGATTATTTGCTAATGAGAGAACGCTGAGAATCATGATAATAATAATGATGATGATCATGAGGATAATGGTGATGATAATTATGATGATGATGATGATATATGTATGTGTATGCTTAAAAAATTCTGTTTTTTTTTTTTTCGTCTTGTTTTGTATTAATTACTAAGGTTTTATATAAACAGAAACGTAAAATAAAGTATATTCTATTTAGAAACATTTGCTTGTTTGATTTTTACCCATTTTCAATGGGTAAAATGGGTATAATATATTTGAATTTTAAGCAAGAATAATGTTGCCAGACGTGATCTAGGGGCCAAACCATGAACAAAGAGCCAAGCCGCGTGAAAATCGGATGAGTTTTGACCAAGTTATGGGAGTGGAAAATTTTGACCTATGTCTATATCGGATATTTGAGGATAACATTTTTACATGAAATTTAAAACGGAGACTAGTTCGACGAGAAACAGACAGACGGACATGGCTATATTGACTCGGCTGTTGATACTGATCAAGAATATATGTACATATACAGTTTATGGGGTCGGAGATGTCTCCGACTATGCGTTACACATATCGAGACAAAATATGAATACCCTCTGCAATTTCTAGGAACCAATAGAATAGACATTATTTGCATAGGGTTTTATACCCTCCTGATCCCATTGGAAATGGGTAAGAAAGGGTATAATTTTCTTTTGCTCTTTGTCATGGTTTCGGTTCACGAGAAATTGCTCGGGCTTAAAATCGATTTGTTTTAAGAGGTATATACACATTTACACAGATCTATTTCATGTACACATTATAAAGGTATTTAACATGCTAAATGGCTTAATAATTTATTCGTCTTCTTCGTTTTCGGGCGGCTGCTGAACGTTGCTCTCGACATCGAAGAAGGCGCGCCTGCTGCGCTTGGCCTCGTTGGCCGTTTGATTGCCCTCGAATTTGGCGGCGGTGCGTTTGCGCAGCTCCTCGACATCCTGTTGATCCTCATTGGAGGCCCACTCGAGCACCAGACGGCGTCCATACAAATGGGTGCTGGCGCTGAGCGCATCAAATGCCCGCTTCGCATCCGCCTTGGTGGTGAAGTCGACAAAACCAAAGCCACGATGCGCATCCTCGCCGGGCGTCATCTTCTTGGGCAAGCGCAGCGAAGTCAGCTCGCCAAAGGCCCTGCGGTGGTAAGGAAGGCAAGAAGATTCAAACATTTAATTAATGTGGCATTTGGTTTGGATGTGAAGCGAGTCACTCACTTGAATATATCGCGCACCTCGCGATAATGCGCCTGGAAGGGTATATTGCGCACCAGAATCTTGGTGCCAGTCTGTTTCTTTTGTGCCACCTGGCGACGGCGTGCTCCATCGTCCTGGTTTCTGTTAAGAGATGCATACATGCATGAATTCATCAATCTCCTTTTTAGATTCAATCTCTAGCTGTTTACTCACTTGAGGACGCGATCGCTGCGCTTTAGCTCGACCAGATTGCCATCGATTTGGGTTAGCTGCATGTCCTTGAGCGCCTGTGAGGCAACAGACGCCTTTTTGAACTGTATAAAGCCATAGCCCAGGGAATTGAGCTGTCGCGGATTCTGTGGATCCTTGCGCTTGGCTATCTCAACGGTATGCACCGTGCCCAAATGCCGAAAATGTTCGAGCACCGTCTCCTGCACGGTCTTGAAGTTGAGATTACGCAGAAATATGGTCGTATTCGGTTCGGGCTCATCATCCGCATCCTCCGCCACGGGCTCCGTTTTGTGCGGCTCCTCTGTCTTTGACTCCGGCTTCTCCTCATTCTCAACAGCAGGTTCGGGTTTGGGCTCGGTTTTGGGTATGACGGCCTCGCCGCTTAACGTCTTGGTGAACGTGTTCTCCGGCGCCCATTCCAGATAGAGCGGCACATTCTTGAACTTGCTGTAGGCCAACTTCTTGAACGCCTGTCGCGCCTCCGACGGCTCACAGTACTCGATGAGCGCGGTGATGCCGCTGGGCGGCAGCACAATGCGTCCGATGGGACCAAATTTACTGAAGATGGGCGCCAGATCGGATGGTTCGGTGCCAGCGGGCAGATTCTTGGCCAGCAGCACAGTCTTGGAGCGCTTCTGTGCGGGCTCATCGAAGGCGCTGAGACGCACGCCCTCCTCCTCGAGAAACTTTTTCATTTCGATGACAATCTGCGTTTCGCCAAGCGCGAGTCGCACGGCAGCACTGCTGCCACCCTCGTCGGTGTCCAGAATGTGCGCCTTGCTGGTCTTGAACTGTTTGGCCAGCAGCTCGGCAACGGCATTGGCGCCCATAAAGAGCGTGTTCCAGCCAATGGGCTTCTGGGCATTCTGCTTCAGCTTGAGCGCCTTCTTCTGCTTAAACGAAAGACCCGACTCGAGCTCCTCGTTCGTCTCTTCCGTGGGCTTGTCCAGCTCCTTGCCGGGCAGCAAGTGCAGCAGGCGACCATGGAAGGTGGTGCCATCGAGCGCATTGAATGCCTTAAGCGCATGCTCTGGCATCATGAATGTAACCGTGCCAAAGCCCTTGATCTGCCTGGTCACCTTATCCACGGGCAGATTGACCTCGACAACGGGTCCGAATGGCTCGAACAGCTTTTGCAGCTCCTCCTCGGTGGTGGTGTAGGCCAAATTGCGAAAGAATATGCGACCCGAATCGGATATGTTCTCCTCGCTGCGCAAACTATCCTGTTGCTGCTTCCACTTGGCATTGCCCCTCGCTGCCGCCTCTTGATCGGCTGCATCTACGGGTTTGCCGCTTTTCATCGCCTTCGTAACTTTATTCTTTGCCGTAAAGTCCGAGAAGAACACCTGCTTGCCCTTGATGAAGCTCTTGTTCTTGATCATGCCCTTAGCCATGTCGCGCTCGGTCTTGAATCCCACATAGCAGAAGCCATGCACCTTGCCGGGCAGACGCACCGAGTACGGCTTGAGCGGCTTAAAGAACTTGATGATGTCCTGGCGCTTGGTATTGTACGGCACATTGTGGATTTTGATGGTGAACAGTTCAAGGTTGCTTTTGTCTGGCTTCGTTTGTGTCTTGGCCTTTTCTTTGGCATCCGTTTTGCCGGCCATTAGGGACTTCATGTACTCCATGTCGCTGATGGGCTTCTCAGCCAGCTTTTCTGCCTGCTGCTCGTCACCCTCCTCCTCCTCCTCCTCCTCGTCGTCGTCGTCGTCGTGATTGTCTGCATCCACGCCGCTGTCATCACGTGCCGGCGCTTCAGTCTCATCGTCGCTTGCCTCCTCGACGGACTGGGCGCCAGCTAGGCCCGCATCGTTGGCCCAGAGGGTGCGCGTCTTGTCGTGCGCCTGGAGAAACTCTTGAAATTCCGGGTCATCCTTGTGCTTGCCCAGAATTTCATCGACTTTGCTTGATTTCTTTTTCGACTTCTTTTGGTCAGCTGTGTCAGCCTCTGGCTGTTCTGCCCTCAGCTTGTCCTGGTTCTTTTTGCTATCCTTGGCATATTTGCTCCAGGATTGCGGCTTCTCCTCGCTGCCCAGCGCCGCACACGACTCCACGCGCACGCGGCTCGTCTGTATGCAGGTATTGTTGAAGTGTTTGATGGCCGCCTGTGCCTCCGCCTCGCTGCTGTAGCCGACAAAGCAGAATTGCCGAAACTTGCCATCGGGCGTGTATTTTAGCTGCAGATCTGTGATGGTACCCTTTGTGCCGAAGATGTTTCGCAGCTTATCCTCACTTATCTGAGTTGGTTAACTGTTTAGCACAGAGCTGCCACAATTTACAGTAATCAACTTACCTGCTTAGGCAGCTGTTTGACAATAATACGCGACATTTTTGTTGTTAACCAATGCAAAACGTTGTGAAATTACAAAAAATGCATTTTGTTTACGATTCGCACGTGTATTGCATTGCCTGCCAACTTGTTGGAAGAGTCTCTTGAAAATCTGGCAGCGCCAGCGCAGCAGTGCTGATAAACAAGAGCAATTTAAAGCACTGCCAATCAAAATTAAAACTTAACAGTGCGCTGTTATTTAATTAAAGTGCCCGTTGAAACGTATACTGTAAATCTGGCAGCGCCAGCAGCAGTGCTGTAAAGCAATAGCCAGCTGTTAGCAGTTAATTATTCGAAGATTTACAGCACTGCCAACGAAATTCAAATACAAATTGAAATGCGCGCTAATGAATGTTAACAATAAAACAGCTTGCAATATATTGTTTGTAAACATGCGAAACGATTGCAATTTCTACATTATAGCCAGTAAAAAACAGACCTTGACACTTGAACCAATTGATGGCCTAGCATTTCCGGTTTACCGTCTTTAATTGATACCCGTCTATAAATAACATGTCTATATGCACAACTTGTTATCAAATATGCATACGAGCTTACAATCGAACATGTAAACAGCCAATTGCACTATCTAACGCTTGTATTTGACGCCATATCAGCTGATGAGCTGGCAAAACAGATGCCTAGGGGTCGCCTCTAATGGGTGTCCACTGTAATTATGGTCCATGCAGACACCGTCGACTCAGTCTGGACGAATTGAATTTCACCATGACGCCATGACGCTCTTAACCTTTGGATGGCTGTCATTGATATTATAGTCAAAGAATTCGCACCAACGACGCATTAAGATGCCAGAGCGATCGGCTTGCTGGCAGGAGGGGGGAGGGGGGGGGTAGTCATCCCATCTTGATAAGGCGGGAAGAGCGAGAGAGAGTGAGAGAGAGAGAGAGAGAGGGCGCTCATCATCTTTTAATTGAGCACTTTTCGTATTTTGTTTATTTCTTACCACTTATTCAAGTGCGTTCATTAGCGCTATTTGAATAGATAAGAAACGCTGTGCTCGCCCAGCTACATATAAAGCCGCACGAGCTGCAGTCAAAGCGTTTCAGTTAGATCTTTAGATTTCAGAGCGAACGATCTGGTAGCGTATATTATTCTTTAGCTGCCGTGATAAGCGTCGCCTTTGCAGTTACATAAAACCTTAAAGTTGTGGAAAATTTCAATTCAATTCAAAGTGTACACAAAAATTCGACGGCAGAACACACAAAAAAAACAAAAACCAAACTTGCTGAGAAATGGAGGTGCCACCGCCACTTGTACTGAAGCGGGCACTTTTTGTGCCCAGCAAGACGCTGATGGGCCCGGGTCCATCCAATTGCTCGCAGCGTGTGCTGGAGGCCATGAGCAATCCGGTGCTGGGACATATGCATCCAGAGTGCCTGCAGGTTTGACTATCTTCTATACTTACTGTGCATTGTTTACGCTCCTTGTGAATTCCCATTCAGCTCTGTTTCTCCATAACCTAACTTATCCAAGGGCAGCCTGCGCTGCTTGTACTTTAACAGTCATGTTAATGTTCATGTTAAGTTGCAGTTTAGAGCTGAGCCCTTCATTAATGCTGTTTAAACTGATTGCTTAGGGCGGCAATCGCTCGAAAGTCTTGGAATATGTCGACTATTATACCCTGTCGCCCATTTGAAATAAGAGTTGCTTGGTTTTTGTGTAAATATATGTTACAGACGGAGGGCAGATTCTTGTGTGGGTTAAACACAAATCACAAATATATAAGACTATATTTTGGTATGTTGCCAAGGAATTTAGGAAATATCGTTCGCTAACGAAGTTCTTTTATGAAAAAATATTTTGTTTTTCAAGTTTTCATCATGTTTCCTAAGCATAATCAAAATCTTAATAAAATCTCTGATCTAAATAATAAAAAAATACTAAAAAAAATATATATATTAAAAACAGACTGCTTTATCATATAGTTCTATAGGAAGAACCAGGCGAAAAGTGAACTTTTCAAATTCCTTGTGATTTTCAGTTAAAAGTTTAATAATTATCCCAGCAGATCTGCAAGCCCCTTAGTCTTATGTCTAAAAGGAAGGGTATTTAAACTTCGGTGTGCCGAAGATAGGCGTTAAAGAAATAATCGAACCTAAAGTATAGAATATATAATAATAAATCAATTTTTTTTAAGGGAAATTCAAGTAAGAATTTCGAATAGTTGCCTTTAGCGAGGGCCTACTGTATGGGATAAATTGTGAGCTTACATTCGATTAAAAGAGTATTGGCTGGACTTACCGCTCGGATATAATATTTGCTTTCTTTTGCACAGATCATGGACGAGGTGAAGGAGGGCATCAAGTACATATTCCAGACGCTGAACGATGCGACAATGTGCATTAGCGGGGCGGGGCACAGCGGCATGGAGGCGGCCCTGTGCAATCTGATCGAGGAGGACGATGTCGTCCTGATGGGCATCACCGGCGTTTGGGGCCATCGGGCGGCCGATATGGCGCGTCGCTATGGCGCCGACGTACGCTATGTGGAGGCCAGCTTTGGGCGTGCTCTCACATTGGAGGAGATACGTTTCGCGTTCGATACACACAAGCCGCGCGTCTTTTTCGTGACGCAGGGCGACTCCTCGACGGGCATCCTGCAGCGGCATATATGCGAAATTGGCGAACTGTGCCGGCAGCACGATTGCTTCTTGGTCGTCGATGTGGTTGCCTCTTTGGGCGGCACCGATTTCCTGATGGACGAATGGAAAGTGGATGTGGCATATACGGGCTCACAGAAGGCATTGGGCGGCCCGGCCGGCCTGACGCCCATCTCGTTCAGCAAACGCGCCCTGACCCACATCAGGCAGCGCAAATCCAAGCCGAAGGTCTACTATTTCGATATACTGCTGATCGGGCAATATTGGGGCTGCTATGGAACGCCGCGCATCTATCATCACACAATATCCGCCACACTGTTGTACGGCCTGCGCGAGGCACTGGCCCACTTCTGTGCGATGGGGCTGAAGAAGGTGGTGCAGCGGCATCAGGAGTGCTCGAATCGCCTCCAGCTGGGCATCGAGGAGCTGGGCCTGGAAATGTTTGTGCAGCACGAGCCGGACCGCCTGCCCACGGTCAATACAATTAAAGTGCCCTTTGGCGTCGACTGGAAGAAGGTCGCCGATTATGCGATGCGCAAGTGCGTCCTCACCCGGACACTCGGGACTCTTTGACATCTAATCTAATCTAAATCATATTTTCCATTTTCGATTTTGCAGATATAATCTGGAAATTAGCGGCGGCCTGGGCCCCACTGTCGAGCATGTCTTTCGTATTGGCCTGATGGGCGAGAATGCCACACTGGAGAAAGTCGATATGGTGCTCAGCATCTTGAATGAGGCCATCCAGAGCATCAAATTGCGAGCAGTCAAAGCGGAACGCTCCAAAATATGATAATACTATAACTAACTATGCAAGCTGGCACTATTTTACTTTTCTATGTTGCATATTGAAAATAATTTTCAAATAAAACAATCTATAAATTTAACATTAAACAGCGCAACGAAAACTAATTGCATTTGAATCTAGGCGCGCATTTAACGGCAACTGCTCAACCCATGTTAAGTTAACAAAAATACTGTTGAGCGTATTGCTGCACATTTAACATACTTTCGTGCCTTTTGTCAGCTAAGAAATTAAACTATGCAGGCCGGCACTTTAAGTTTACACTTATTCAAGTTGCAAATTCATTTAAAAGAATACATCAAGTAAATATACAACAATTTCCAACTTGAACTCAAGTGCTTAATGAAATGTAAGACTCAAAAAGGCACTGTTAACTATTTGGTTTGCTGCACACTTGCATAGTTTTACAACACTCGAATGACATAAAAATTCGCCATGTTTGCCGGGCCTGTTCAGTTTTGTCTTTTGGCAATAACAAAAAATTGTAAAGAAATAAATGACTTATAAGTTTATTGAATGGGCCAAGCAAAGACTTGGCCCGTTCAAGCGGCACTAGCACTCTGAATATACATCTAGAGAAAAAAAATAGTTAAAAATTGTACACTTAAATGTTTATTTGTTGTTGTTGTTGTATGGGATCAACTCTCTACTTGAATCGACGTCCATTTGCTTTTAGGCATACAATAGTTGCTGCGCGCATCTGGCTAAACCTAACCCTGCTTCTGGGCCAATTCACGAGCCTTGGCACGCTCCAGCTTGGCGATGCGAGCCAAACTCTTTGAGCCGAGAATACCACCGCCCCAGTGACGACGGATCTCCTCGTGGCGCTCATTGAAGTTGGTCTTAACAGCCTCCAGCACCTTGCCAAAGTTGGCCTTGTCGTTGTTCTCAACGCTGGTCAGGGCCAGAGCGGTGCAGGTCTTGCGGCGCACCAGACGGCCCAAACGTGCCTTGCCCTTCACAATGCAATATGGAACACCCATTTTGCGGCACAAGGCGGGCAGGAAGAGCACCAACTGCAAGAAAGATCAGAAACGTTTAGGCTTTTGTTCTCAAGTCAACTGCAACACGTGCTCAATGGGCGAGATGGGGGTTCGGGGGTCTTGTTGCAGACAAATTCTCAGCTGTCAATTTACCACAGACAACGTCTGAATAAACGTTTCAGTTGAAGAAATTCAATTAACATCATGGAATGTGCGCAACTTGGTGGGGAGGGGGGGCTTACAAATGATGGGGACGAACGTTTACCTCTAGAGGATCGACATCGTGAGCGATGACAACCAGCTGAGCTTTCTTCTGCTCGATGAGCTTGGTGACGGTATTGGTGCCGGCTGACACGAAGCTGGGCTTCTTCTTGGGCTCCACTTCCTTGCCCTTGGCCTTGGCCTCGGCCAGTTTCTTTAGGCGCTGCTTCTTGGCCAACGGCGACTCTGGACGATATTTCTCCAGCAGCTTGAATAGCTTGACAGCTGTCGTCTTGTCCAGGGTCTGGCTGAACTGGTTAATTGGTGGCGGCACCTTCAGACGCTTCTGCAGCACAGCCTTTTGGCGCTGAACGCGAATGTATTTGGGCCAACGCACAAAACGCGACAAATCACGTTTGGGCTGAACATTTTGGCCTGCAAATTGAAGTTTCATTAATGTGAGTACAATTCTAGGCATTAGCCATAGGTGAAGAAGCACTTACCAATGCCAAAGTTCTTGGGACGCTTCTCGAAGAGCTGGTTGACAACTTTCTTGACCACGGGCTTCTTCACAGCCAATGGGGCTGGGGCCACCTTCTTGGTCACTGGCTTCTTCTTTGGCCTGGGCTGTAACATGCATGAAATTGATTCAGTTTAATACAACACGGCCATACGACATATATATTTATTGGTATATGTGCATATTGGTTACACTTGTATGGGGGCACAAACACAAAACAAAACACAAATAAAAAAAATTGCATAAAAAAAATGGAAATCAAAATAATTCACGGCACGATACGTTTGGCACTTTAAATGTTTGGTTAATTTGGTTGGGTAGCATTGTTTACCTTCTTAACAACCATTTTCACACAGTTTTATTTAACGATGCTAACAAAAAAAGCAGATTAATTTGCGGGTCGTTTAAAAAGACCAGCTTTACGTCTGCCCGTCAGAAAGGTAAAGGAATGGCGTGAGCGGCGGAAGTTGCTTGCTTGTCAAAGTTGACATTTGCCAGTAACAGGGTTGCATTTATCAACAGTTTATACGCATCGGCCAATAGATGGCGCACGCAGAGTTGCATGCCATAGCTTTCGATATGTCAATTTTCGATATACTCACTGCAATGTGACCGTAGGCGATAAGTATGAAAATACCAATATCTACTGCTAAAACTACTAAAATTAAATGTTGTACAGTGAAATACGTGCACACTTCCACAACTCTAATTTATTCTACCTGTTGCATTACCATTTGCGCTTGCGCCCAAATGTTAAAATTAGCATATAAATTAATTAAAGTTCAACTGAAATTTTGTTTTCGTTATTGTGCTGTGCAAGTGGTGCATTTGAACAAAACATAAAGTGCAGCAAAAGGTACTGATTGACATGGTGCTGCAATGCACACCTCCCCTGCCCAGGCAGGGCCACCATTTTTAATTTCTTTGTTTATTTTGTGTTCCATCTTCGTCGCAGTGTCAGCAACGATCGCAGCCGAATTTGAATGCATAAACAGAGAACGAGAACGTGAATAAAAACGAAAACGCAAACGAAAACCATAAACAAAACGCTAATGAAATCATGAAATGAAGAAAATAACAACAATAGTTTAAAGAAATGAAAATGAAGTGAGTGCTAAATATCACAAAATATGGCCAGCAACGGGGCTGGTGGCGGTGCTGCTGCTGGCGGCGGAGGAGGAGGAGGAGGAGGAGGAGGTGGCGGCGGCGGTGGCGGTGGCGGAACAGGCATCAATAACACGCACGCCGTTTGCGTCTGGGAGTTTGAGTCGCGCGGCGGCAAATGGTTGCCCTATTCGCCGGCCGTGTCACAGCATTTGGAGCGTGCGCATGTCAAGAAATTGACGCGGGTCATGCTCAGCGATGCAGATCCCAGCCTGGAGCAATACTATGTCAATGTACGCACCATGACCCAGGAGTCGGATACCGAATCGGAGGCGGGCCTGCTGACAATCGGGGTGCGGCGCATGCTCTATGCGCCCAGCAGTCCGGCGGGCAAGGGCACCAAGTGGGAATGGTCTGGCGGCAGTGCGGACAGCAATTGCGATTGGCGGCCATACAACATGCACGTGCAGTGCATCATTGAGGATGCGTGGGCGCGTGTAAGTACTCACAGCTGAAACGGCCAACCATCGGCCAACCAACCAACATATCATTTTAAACAATATTCCTTTTTTTGTGCAGGGCGAACAAACATTGGATCTGTGCCAAACGAACATCAGCCTGCCCTATACCATTAACTTTTGCAATTTAACGCAAATGCGCCAGCCGAGCGGTCCATTGCGCAGCATACGCCGCACACAGCAGGCGCCCTATCCGCTGGTCAAGCTGACGCCGCAACAGGCGCTGCAGCTGAAGGGCAATGGGCATGACTACGCGGCCAATCATCATCAGCAGCAGCGCAACAATACGCTGCCCAAAATGGGCGCCATGCTGCCGCCTATGCATCGCCAGCAGCATCCGTTGCCCATGCCCGTGAGCAATGGACATCACCAGCAGAAGCAGCAACAGCAGCAACACCAACAACATCAGCAGCATCAGCAGCATCAGCAGCAACTGCAGCAACTGCAGAAACATTCACATGCACAACATGCACAACATGCACAACAGCAGCGCAAGCCGCACAAGAAGCACAGCGAGATTTCGACCACGAATCTGCGCCAGATACTGAACAATCTGAACATATTTGGCAGCAGCACCAAGCACAGCAGCAGCAGCCACAGCAGCAGCAACTGCAGCGGCAATCATCTGGCGACGGCAACAGCGGCCAGCAGCTGTGCCTCAAATGTGGTCGGGTCAACGCTGCACTTGATGCAGCATCAGCATCAGCATCAGGCGCACTTCTCGCACAGCAGCAAAAGCATGTTGACCTCGTCGATGAACAGCCATCATAGCCGCTGCTCGGAGGGCTCATTGCAGTCGCAGCGTAGCAGCCGCATGGGATCGCATCGTTCGCGTTCGCGCACGCGTGCCTCGGATACGGACACGAACAGCGTTAAGTCGCATCGCCGCCGGCCGAGCGTGGATACCGTCTCCACGTATCTCAGCCATGAGAGCAAGGAGAGCCTGCGCAGCCGTAATTTTGCCATATCTGTGAACGATCTGCTCGACTGTTCGCTGGGCAGTGATGAGGTGTTTGTGCCATCGCTGCCGCCATCGTCGCTGGGCGAACGTGCGCCGGTGCCGCCGCCACTGCCCATGCCGCATCATCATCAGCAGCATCAGCAGCATCAGCAGCAACAGCAGCAGCATCAGCAGCAACAGCAGCAACAGCAGCAGCAACAGCAGCAACAACAGCAGCAGCAATCAATCGCTGGTTCGATTGTGGGCGTGGACCCGGCCAGCGACATGATATCGCGCTTTGTGAAGGTCGTTGAGCCGCCGCTGTGGCCGAACGCACAGCCCTGCCCCATGTGCATGGAGGAGCTGGTGCACTCGGCACAGAATCCTGCCATATCGCTAAGTCGCTGCCAGCATTTGATGCATCTGCAGTGCCTCAATGGCATGATCATAGCACAGCAGAATGAGCTAAACAAGGTGACTATAAGATTGTGGCCGCTAGTTGGACCTAGTTTAAGAATGTAACCAAAGGAAAGACAAACGTCTTGAGTTCTCTATATGTGAATAGTGTCAAGTAGGTGGCCAGTAAATGCCAATTGGATGGCAAAGATCGAATCTTCCCCTGTTGTTGTTGTTATATTTCAATCATGCTAGCTCGCTCTTAATTATGCCAACTCTCTTGCAGCAAAACCTATTCATCGAGTGTCCCGTTTGTGGCATTGTCTATGGCGAGAAGGTGGGCAATCAGCCCATTGGCACCATGTCCTGGAGCATCATAAGCAAAAGTTTGCCCGGCCACGAGGGCCAGAATACCATACAGATTGTATACGAGTGAGTAGATTGGCCATAAGGCATCCACCTTTACGCTCTAACCACTCTCTCTCTCTCTCTCTCTCTCTCTCTCGCTCTCGCTTGCAGCATTGCGTCGGGCCTGCAAACCGCTGAGCATCCGCATCCGGGACGCGCCTTTTTCGCCGTTGGATTTCCGCGCATCTGCTATTTGCCAGACTGTCCGCTGGGGCGCAAAGTGTTGCGCTTCCTGAAGATCGCCTTCGATCGACGTTTGCTGTTTTCGATTGGACGTTCGGTGACCACCGGGCGTGAGGATGTGGTCATTTGGAATAGCGTCGATCATAAGACACAGTTCAATATGTTCCCAGATCCCACCTACTTGCAGCGCACCATGCAGCAGCTGGTGCATCTGGGCGTTACGGATTGAATTACCCGCTCGCTGCCGACTTAATTCATAGTTTCTCTCGCTTCCATGTCTCTTTTTAAGCAAACAAAAAATCTCCATGTGTGTGCAATTTTATTAGAGTGTTCGTTTTCGTTTTCGTTTTAATTTAATTTTGATTTTTTTTTTTTTAATTCGTGTATACATTGTATGTGTCCGCCAGCGTTCGAGCTGCTCGAACCCTAAACAAACAACAAACAACTGCAAATGCAATTTCCATTTACATTTCTTCATTTATTAAGACGGAACTGTTCTTCCATTTGTAGACGTTAAGCAAATGTATTCTGTATTGTATTTAGAAATCGTATACACACATGCATATATATTTATATATATATATTGTCTATAAGGCCATACTTAACTCTCCACTGTATTGCCACACTAGAAATTTTCGACAATCTAAAGACACCTACTAGTATTAGTTAGTATCTTATAATGTAGCATAACTAAGCATTATTTAAGCGTTAAGCTGTGCCAAAATTCTCAATTGTCAAATGTTTCTCATTTCCATTGAATCGCATTTAACACGCATCTCAGTTCAGTTTAGTTTTGTATCCATCAGCCATAGCATATTACTTGAGAGTATTGGTTAAAGGCCCTTTTTAATGTGAATCTTTATTGTATTCAAAACAACATATGAATCATTTAGAATATCAAGAAAACTGATACGCTTTCCATTCAAATCATTCGTATGTTAATTGCATTTGTTCTGGCTTTATTTTTGTGATTTTACTTGAAATAGTTTTTGATTCATTAATTCTTGCACTCATAACTCATACAGTCATGTATCATTCAAAGCATTCGAATCAATAATTTTGTGTTCGATTCATTTTATTTTTGTAATTGCCATTCGATTGAATTTGTTGTAAAGATTTCATTTGTAAATTGTAGCTCATTTGAATGATAATTTTATTTAGCTCTAATTCGAAATCTTTAAATTATTTTCACTTGTGGTTTTATTTAGATATTTGAATTTGTAATAATTTCCACCAAAATTGAAGCCTTTGGCTAATTCTAAATCCAATTGTGATTCATTTTGTTTTTGATTCCATTCATTTGATTCATTCAACTCGATTCGTATGAACACTCCAGAGGCCACTTCTAATCTTTCTCATTTTTTTTTTTTGTTTTAGGTCATTTCGATTTGCAATTTGTAATTGTTTTTTATTTTAGTTTATTTGTTCAGTTTTTCAAACTATTAGTAACTAATACTTTACACACACACACACACACACGCATACATATATTCATTATACATACATAGCTCTATGTATACTATTATATATTCGCACACATTATATGATATATACATATATATAGTTTTTTTTTTCAATTGTTGCTTTCATATTGATATCATCTCGACGACATTCTCGAACATACGATACGATATATACTATACATATATATATATATATATATATATATAGTATACTATATATAGAGACAGCTATTGGGCATGCCCGGTTTATAATATAACTAAGTTGTATTTAGCACTGATTAGTTGTTAGTTAAACACATTGCGTAAACTGCATTCAGTATGGCATTAACTTAGCTATTAACTATAAAAGATTCTATACAAATTTATTCCCTATTGTATACCTAGTTTAAATAAAAAAACCAGCAAAAATGTTTTCAAAATAATCATCTGTACAAATGGCATCTAGAGATGGACGCGTTTTAGAATATTATTTCAAGCGTTCACTTCATTTCGGGACCAAATGCTGATCAAGGAGCATCTTATAGTTCTTTTTCGAAAGTCGATGAAAATTGATTAAAGATCTTATGTAAATATATGCATAAGCATCTCTGACCCCATAAAGAGCCATAAACTGAGTGGATCTAGCTTTGGTCGTCTGTCGATAACTTCTCGCATTCACATACTATCGATAAATATCGGTTTTGGAAAATGATTCTAAGAGCTAGAAACTTTTATGTGTTGAGTCCCGCAGATTATGCAGAGCCTAAGAGTATACATATGTATGTATATATTCTTGATCAGAGCGACAGTCTAAGGCCGTCTGCAAAAGCTAAAGAGTTCAAACCTTGATTAAGGCTCGATATCTGCTCGCATTTACAAAGTATCGATAAATATCGATTTTGGGTAACGATTTTGTAAGCTTTGTTAAAGCTATAGACACATCAATTTGCGTGTTGGCTCTCGCCAGGTCTGCGCAGCTTAAGGGTATATATATTCTTGATCAGAGCCACAATCTGAGTCGATAGCTAGCTATGGCCGTCTGTTCGTCTGCAAATGCTAGAGACTTGAAGTTACTCTCGATAACTGCTTGCATTCACATAATATCGATAAATATCGATTTTGAGAAATGATTCCTTAAGCATAACTCGAAGAAGAACTAGAGCAATCTAACCTTTTTTCGATATCTGCTCGCTCTCTCAACATATCGATAAATATCGATTTTGGCAAATGATAAGGAAATCACAAGAGCTACAGACACATATTTCTGGTGTGCATGCTCTCGCATAGTATGTACACTTAAGGGATATTTCAGATTTTTGGATACCTCCACCCATTTTTCCCAGTTTTAAAGGCTAGAGTCTTGCGTTTAGGTATATAGACGTTACTTGGGGCCATATGCAAGTCCTGAAAGTTTCTGAAAGATCGCACTATATCGCAGTTAACCAACTATGCTGCGTATGTGTGTGTGTGTGTGTGTGTGAAGCTGATAACGTCAGCGCCGGCTCCAAGTTCTGGGCATGTCGCTTGTTATTCTTTTGGGCTATCGTGTCACGCTGGAAAGCACGACACGACACGACGCGACACGAGGCTCATCTCCATTTGGAATGCACACACAAATGGAATTCAAATCAACTGCATTTTAATTACGCAATTGTTGTTGTTGCTGCTGCTGTTGTTGTTGTTGTTGCTGCTGTTGTTGTTGTTGTTGTTGCTGTTGCTGCTGTCAGCGACAAATTTAGCGCGTCCAAGGTTTACATTTAGCGATTTCGCTGTGAATCACTTAAAATAAATTAAAATCAATTTTTGTGCACTTTTCATGCGTGATACATATATGTATATACATATATATTTTTGTGTCTGCGTGTGTGTGTGTGTGCGTGTGTGCGTGTGTGCGTGTGTGTGCGTGTGTGTGCTGCATATTGGCCACAAAAGCGGCTGGCATCCTTTTATGGCACTTGTCGCTGCCGCATTCGTTGTGGCGCCCCATTCTTCGACTCTCGACTCTCGACTCGCCTGGCTGCCTACGCGCTGACATCATCGTTTTCCCGATCTCCCCTCTGCCCCCCCCCCTCTCCCCTCCTGTCGCCCCCTCGCCATCGCGTACGGCTTTTGTTTAGCTTGGACAAGGGCAGCGCAACCTTCGATGCTGCGGCAACAGTTGCTCGTGCAACACTTTCACTGTGGCAAGCAGCAACTGTTGTTGTTGTTGTTGCTGCTGTTGCTGCTGCTGCTGCTGCTGCTGTTGTTCTTCTTCTTCTTGTTTTGGGGCGCAGCTGTTGCTTTGCCAGCGCGTTAGAGCCGCATTTGTCGCATGTTGCCTCTTTTTGGCACGCCCACCCAAGTGTTGCTGCCAAGCGTAATTCTTGACCTGCAGAGTTGCTGCTGCTGTTGTTTTTGTTGTTGTTGTTGTTGTTGTTTATTGTGACTGTTGTAATTGTTGCTGTTGCTTATGTACCAATTGTTGTTGTTGCTCTTGATGTTGCTGTTGTTGCTGCTGTTGTTGTTGTTGTTGTTGGTTATTGTGATTGTTGCTAATGTTGTAATTGTTGCTGTTGCTGTTGATGTTGCTGCTTTTGTTGTTGTTTATTGGAATTCTTGCTGTTGCTCCTGAGCCTCTTGCTGTTGTTGCTGTTGCTATTACTGTTGTGGTTGTTGATCCTGTGATTGTTGCTGTTGTTGTTGTTTTTTTATTGTGATTGCTTCGGTTGCTGATGTTTTAATTGTTGCTGTTGCTCCTGTACCTGTTGTAATTGTTGCTGTTGTTGCTTCTGTTGTCGTTGCTGCTCCTTTACAGCAGTTGTGTTTTGCTGTTGCTCTTGTTAATGTTGCTGCTGTTATTTAAGCTTATATTGCTGTTGTTGTTGCTTCTGTTGGTGTTGTTGTTGTTCCTATTGTTGCTGCTGATGTTGTCGCTGTTGCAGCTGATCTCCTTGTGCCAGTTGCATGTTGAAAATGTTTTCCTAGAATTTTGCAGCATTTCATTCGATTTCATTTGATTGACACTGAACGTTGACGTTGACATTCAACACACCAGCCACAACAACAACAACAGCAACAACAACAACAGCAACACCAGCAACAACAACAACAACAGCAACAACATCATCTCGTCTCAACTCATCCAGTTGTTTCTACATTTTCAGTCAGTTGTTTTGGCCAAAAGTGCACAACCCACTGACCATGTGGCACTCGCAGGTTTTTCGCTTCGTTGTTGCTGTTGTTGTTGTTGTTTTTTTGGTTTTTTTGTGTTGTTTTCCTTTTTTTTGTTTTTTTTTTTTTGGTGCTGCGCTTTGCATTTCGATAAGGCGGCGCAATTGGGCTGCAGCTGCCTTATCGAGAGATCTGCTGCGTCCAGTTGAGAGAAAAGCAGCCAGAAATAACGCTCATCTGAACCGGTTCAGCTCGTGTATTACCATATGAACCAAATCGTGAATCTTGAATCAGTTGCCGCAAAAACAGCTAAGGCTGCGCCTCAATGCGTTTGATTCAATTTGAATATTTGAATGCAACATTTGTAGCTGCTGAAGTGCTCAATGAACCAGTTCAAATGAACCAATAAAAAAGAAAAGCATATCAATTCAATAATGCGAATTATTTTCCCATTGATTAAAGTTGAGACGATTTGGGGATCGATCAAAATATATCATTATTTTGTTTGACAGTTCTTATTAGCCAGCGCACACTGTAGCTGCGGCTAACAGTGTCTTCTATTTAATTAACAGAGCAGGTAACAGTAATTGACAGAAGCTGTAAACTAGTCTAACTTGAACTTGAAACAAGAAATAGCTTATTAGAAGGCGACCACTGTAATTAGAGCTAACAGCGAGTTCTCTGCGGTTAACAGCATCGAAAACGCAATTAACAGTAAGCGGGCTTTTAATCTAGTGAGCCGTGAATTTGGCTGTCTTTGGCATTAACAGGAGGTCCTAGTGTGCCTTGTAGCGAGCTGTCATAAACAACACTTTCATCTAAATTTCCCTTTTTAAAGTTCCAATAAGCTGCTGCTGTAACTAGAGCTAACAGAGTGTTCTATGCGGTTAACAGAATCGGAAACTGAATTAACAGAAGCCGAGACCTTATACTAGCCAGCTCTCACTATCTGGCAATACTCTTTGACTAGTAGTGCGTTCTATTTGATTAACAGAATCGGAAACAGAACTAACAGTTGCCGGGTCTGTCATCTAATCAGTCTTTCGAGTTCTTATTAGATAACCGACCACTGTTACTCGAGCTAACAGAGCGTTATCTGCGGTTAACAGAATCGGAAACGGAATTAACAGAAGCCGAGACCTTATACAAGCCAGCACTCACTATCTATTAACAGAATCGGAAACAGAACTAACAGTTGCCGGGTTTGTCATCTAGTCAGTCTTTCGAGTTCTTATTAGATAACCGACCACTGTTACTCGAGCTAACAGAGTATTCTATGCGGTTAACAGAATCGAAAGGGCATTAACAGAGGCGGAGTCTTTAATCTAGCCAGCCTTGAAATTGGCTGAGTCTGGAATTAACAGGGGCCGGGAGTCCTTGATCTAGTGTGCTGTGTGTTTAGCTGTCATTAACAACACTTGATAACTGTCAATTGGGATAGCAAATAAAATTCACACAGGAAAAAAAGTCAATCAATTTAGCGAATCCTCATCAACGCAGAATGCAGAACGTACGCAAAGTGGTTAAGGAGCGCGATTATATTGCCTCGCTGTTGTTGAACAAGTCGCGGGAATCGTTCAAAATGCCGGATACACTGCCGCCGATACCGGAGGACGAGGCCGAGGGCCCGGCAGCCGAGGAGTATTTTGTGGAGGACGCCAGCCGCAAAATGGAGCAGCAGTTCGGTGCCCTCTCGCTGGAGCTGGAGCTGGACACGCCGGCAGTCGGTGCCGGCGGGCCGAAGCTCATGGAAATGGAGTGGCCATCGCCGGTGCCATCGCCGGTGCCATCGCCGGTGCCATCGGACGGGAGCGAGGCCAGCGATGAGAGCAGCATTAGCTCCACAAACGAGGTCATCCAATCGACCACATCCAGCGGCGATGAGTTCCAGCTGGACTCGAATCTGTTGCATCATCCACGTCGTCGTCGCCGTCGCAATTCGAATGGCCTCTAAACAGTCGGACCAAGATGGCGGCCATCGAATCGAGGAACTGTCATTAGCTTCGGATCCTGTTCACATACATGCATATATATAGACAACAAAACGCGCCTAAAAATAAAACTCGTTCATTTCTAGATTTCATCTTCTTTTACTATCTGATCTTCAAATTGCAACCCTTTCTTCAGGTGTGGCAGCCAGTTCCTTAAATCCTTGTCGAGCGCTTAGAAGAAGACTTCAAAGTCCCACAAAGTATATACATACATATATTCCTAAACCAGCCGAGTCTAAATGTGGCCTATATATTTAATTTGCAGGCGGTTTATATGTTACATGGTGGGAAATTTTGGGGTACCATTTGCCAGATTAAGATGCCAAATTGATCTGGAGGTCAAACCATGAACCAAGACACAAACCTCGGGAAAATCGGATAAGACTTGACCGAGTTATGGGGGAGGGGAAATTATGACCTATATAGGATATTTTAGAGTACCAAGTTTTACATGCATTTTAACCATGAAATAAAATTTAAAAAAAATAAATAAAATTTATATAATATTATTATAATTGAAATAAATGTGCGGTCATTTGCAAAAAGAAGATTGCACAGCTGCTAAATGATAAGGTACTTAATTGGAAAGCTTTGATAGTTGATAAGCTAGTTTAAAGTTTGAAATAAACGTAATTAACTATTTATTTGTATATTTCATAAATTATGCATGCGAAAAGGGCGAACAATAAAAGTCCTTGCGGAGCAGGGCCTCAATTTAAGTTGAGTTCAATTGTTGTCATTGCATTGAAGGTTATGTCTGATTTGTGGAGTGTTGTTTTTGCTGTTGTTGTTGTTGTTTTTTTTATTCCTTGTGAGACAGCTAAGTACATGCACGCACACACACGCACGCACGCACACACACGCACGCACACAGACGCACGCACACGCACGCACGCGCAGCGCAGCGACATTTGCGACGAGGCGAACCACATCCGGACTGGGACTGTGTGGAGTTGACCGCTGCCCACAGCTCCTCAGCCCCTTCAGCGTGTTGTTGTTGCTGCTGCTGCTGCTGCTGCTGCTGCGGCTACTGCTGCTGGCGCCTATCTCTCTGCTCGGCGACGAGCCTAAATGCAGCAACAATTGCAGTTTGCACAATCAGTTAAGAGCCTCCGCTCGTGCCAAACGGTTGTGCGCATCTTTCACACAGTTAACAACAGCATTTACAACAACAACAGTTACAACAACAACAGCAACAACAACAGCGAACTTTAAACAATTGCAGCAAAACAATCAACTTTGCTTAGCAACATTTTGTTTTTATTTTTTACGTGCATTTTCTGGCAGCTTCTTTTCTTTTTTGTCGTCTTTTTGTTCACAATTTCTTCATTCGCGTGTGCCGGCAACAACAATAACAAGAAGAAGCAGAACATCAAACAGTTATTTGTTGCAACCGCAAGTCAATCAAAAGTGCGCCCCCTCCCCCTCCGTCCGTTCAAAACAAGCTCGCGATCGCTTTTTGCTTAATTCACGTAACTTAAGCTCTTTCCGTGTAGAACTTTAACAAATACAATTACAGTAATTACCTAGAGCTTTTCTCCGAACGTGTGTGTGTGTTTGTTTTTCATTAATTCCATTTTTTTTTTTTTTAATATACATACTTATATTTATTTAAATTGTTGTTGCTGTTTGTCTTCAACTTGTGTTTGTCTCCAGTTACAAAAGCCGCGACGCTGTCGACGTCTCTGATAAGCAGCAGCAGGTAAGATTGGCAGCACACACACACGCACGCACACACTGGCACAATAGCATCCACACACACACACACACACGCACACGCACACGCAGAGGCACGCACACATTTGCATGCAAATTAAGTTCCAACATGTTCTAAGTGTTTTGCGGTTTTCCTGTTGGCTCCTAGGCGCCATCTAGCGGCAAATTAATCAATCAATCAGCTATTGAATATATCGCCTTACACAGCGGCAGCTCAGTCTCGCTCTAGCCGTCTCTTTCGCTCGCACTGTGGGCGAGCTACGCATAAATCAAATGTACAAATCACAGCAATAATAATAATAAAAAAACATAACTAATTTAAATCAAATTGGATATCAATAGGAATTAAGCGCATTGCCATATTTTGTTGTTTGCGTTCACATTTTCGGGCATTCGAAAATTAACGAGCGCCCGCCACAATGCCTGTCATTTATCGTTTATCGTTAATCGTCGTTTCAGTCGCGGGGCATTGGCCACGCGCCTACCTACGCGATTCTCACACAGACACGCGATAATTCCATTGATCCGTCAAATTGAAAGATTACAAATTAAGCAACACATGTAAATCGCTGACTTTTGAGCTATGGAGACGAGCTCAAATGAATTGTGGCGCAGCTAAATTGGCTATAATTATGCAGATAGCTTGTTTATCTAACGTTATATGGCATTAAGGGCTTTAAATGAGAGCTGTTTGTCAAGCTCTTTTAGGCTATGCTTGAGACTTATTCCACAAATGGCGACCAGGGTAGACCCTCTGTAACCTTTTGCGGCAAATGTGTATGGCCAAAAGCTATAAAAACGTCTCTATCGTTTAGTATCACACAATATATGCTCATACGATTATATTTAAGCGTAGCTTAATGCTCAATATAATAGAAAATGTTTAATCAGTGGGGTTAATTAAATCGAACGATTTCTATTACTTATCGTGAATTATTCTTTTCACAATGGGTCAACTAATATCTCATAATATCTCCTGCGTAGAGCAAAAAATATATTTAATCGCTGAATAATTCCTTTGATCATTAACGTCAAGTTGTAGACCGACTCTAGAGTACATTTCCAAGTGATATGACATCATGTAACACAAAATATTATGGCTTGTATCAAAGAACCTTCAGAATCTATTGCTCATTTACAAATTTAGAGCTACAAAAGGATTTCTTTAGATTATATCAATAAATATCAATATACATATATTCTTGATCAAAAGCCAGAGGCTTCAAATTGTAAGCAATGATTCGAGTAATAATTTTATTATTTCAAAAGTTTTTATTTGCAATGTCTTCTTCCATTTGCATATTAACGATAAATATCGATTTTGAGACTTGCTTTCCTCGGCAAAACTCGAATTTTATAAAAGCTTGATACACCACATTTGGTTTGTTGGTTATAGGATAGTAAATTCGGGTTCAGAATAGTTAACTTCATGAACAGCTGCCTTCATTCCCTTCAAAATCAAAAAAAAACTTCCCAAGCTAAACCCTTGCGCTTTGGCATGCACATACTTTTCTCAGCTATATTTAAGCCCTGAAAATTGCATTTATGATCGGACAACAAGAACCGATGTTACTTGAGAACACATTTCCCTTATATGTATATTGCGAAAACAGCCTGGCTTTGGGTGCAGCATATCTGCTAGTCGGGCATACTTGTTTCTATACGCTTAGTTCTCTATATATATACATAGATTATATATATATATATAGATCATATATATAAATGTGTCTTGGAATAGCCGCATAAAATCTAGACTTGACCTTCACTTCTATTAAAGGGTTTTCTTCTCGTGCACCTTCAGTTTCAAGTTCAGTTCGGCTCCGGTTTTTGGGCGGCTGACCCCGCTGCTGGATGCGGCGACTGACTGACTGACTGACTGACTGACCGACTGATTGACTGACTGACTGACTGACCAACTGACTGACTGACTGACTGATTGACTGACTGACCAACTGATTGACAGACTGATTGACTGACTGACTGACCAACTGACTGATTGACTGACTGACTGACTGACTGACTGACTGACTGACTGACTGACTGACTGATTGACCAACTGATTGACTGACTGATTGACTGACTGACTGACTGACTGATTGACTGACTGACCAACTGACTGACTGACTGACTGATTGACCAACTGATTGACTGACTGGTTGACTGACTGACTGACTGACTATCGTCAGCCTATTTGCCCAATTGTGGTTATGAACTTGTTTGGCTTTTGGCAGCCGGACGGCGAGCTGCCTCGCCCCGCCCGGCCCCGCCCCGTCGACCGCCCCCTTGAGAGTCCCCTCACCTTGCGCCGAGAACGTGCTGTGGATTCCAATTGCCGTTTGACCGAACATCGTGTTTTGATCTTAACCAAAACTGAAACCCAAATGCGACGCTGGCGGCCGCATCAACTAATCACAGCTGCCAGGCCAATGAGCAGCAGCAACAATAACAACAAAAACAACAACAACAACAACAACAACAACAACAACAACAACAACAACAACAACAACGACGACAACAACAACGACGACAACAACAACAACATTTGCCATGTTTCATTTTAACCATTTACGGGGGAAATGTCACAACTCGTTTGGGAGACTTGGGGCATTTGGGGACTTGGACTTGGTGGGGATCTGGTTCGCCTCGTCGTCGTGCTGGAGTGCAATAAAAAACAAACACACACGCACACACACACACACATACACAGAAATCATGATAAATTGAAAATAATATTAACGAATCTATGGACGTACACTTGAGAAACCGCAACAACAACAACAACAACAACAACAACAACAAATGAATCAAAATGAAAAATGCATTCGCATTTTTAGTGGCAACAAGTAGCAGTAGGCGGCTTTTGCTAATGATACACTACCAGATACCCTGGGATTTGTTTTAGATCAACAAGTAGTAGATGGTACCTTTTGCTAATGATAGACTACCAGATACCCTATGCTTTGTTTTAGAACAACAAGTAACAGTTGAACCTTGCTGCTTATTATAGACTAACAGATAACCTGTGTTTTTATTATTGAACAACAATGATTAGCGACTAGCAGATACCCTGTGCTTCTTCTCTTTTAGAGCAGTAGGCGCTTATTGCTAATGATAGACTGCCAGCTAGCCTGTGCTTTATGTAGATCTACAACTAGTAGGAGGAACCTTTTACTAAAGATAGACTATCAGATACCCTGTGCTTTTTTAGAGCAACAAGTAGCAGTAGAACCTTGTTGTTTATCATAGACTAGCAGATACCCTGTACTTTTCGTATTGAGCTATGAATTGAACTATGATGAGCGACCAGCAGATACCCTGTGCACATTTTTTTTGAACAGCAGTAGCTGCTTGTTACTATTGATCGACTAGCAAATACCCCGTGCTTTGTTTAATAGAGTAGCAGTAGGCGCTCTTTCCTACTGATCGACTAGAAAATACCCTGCGTTCTTTTTTTAGAGCAACAAGTAGGAGTAGGTGCTTTTAGCTATTAATCGACTAGAAAATATCCTGTGCTTTGTTTTTTTGGAGTAGGAGTAGGCGTTTTCTGCTATTGATCGACTAGCAAACACCCTTTTTTCTGATCTAAGCTACATACTCCCATCAGCCTACCAGCCAATCACAAATCAAAATGGATGCCTGAGCTTTTTTCAGCTTCTCTTACAAGTTTGGCATACCCCAATCGAGCATGTCATGTACACATACAGGGTACGATAAAGTGAATTGCATCATCGGAAGGCAGCCAACGGCCGCCTTCAACTGACATTTTCATTTAACTTACTTATTGTGCATATGAATGGGTTTTTCTTTTTGTTTTTGATTTTAATTTATTTTTATTTATTTTTTTTTTTTTGTGCAGGAGTCGCCACCGAACGTTGCAACTGTTTTTGCCATGGAACTGGAATGCGATTTGGGTGCCATACAAAACGAGGAGTTGCTGAGGAAAATGGTAAGCGCTGTGAAAGTACAAGTACTACATGCTTTGCATTATATATTTAACTTGGATATATGTATATTTATCTGAGATCTTATTTAGGGTTAAACTGAAAGAAGCATATTTTATCATTTACATTGCCTTGGTATTCGCATCTTTCTCACGTTTGTAGAGTATCTCAGCTCTTCATGTGAGTGTCATACCAATGAGCTCACGTGTGAGTTGTATACCAATCAGCTTTCGGTGCTTGGCCTGCTGGTAACTCCTTCAGCGTCCTGTTTGTCTCTTTAGTCTGTTTCAATTCATGTTTATGCACTCAAATAACAGTTAACTTTCGAGTTATGCAGCAAACAGCTTTTTGCCTGTAAGTGCTGACAATAAGTATTGTAGCTACCTGCTCCGAAATCTCTTAATGTCTTTCCACATTCTACATATCCTTTATTTTCACTCGAGTTTTATATCAACTTACTATTCCAGGCGTACCGAAAAGTTGTACATCAATAAGCTCCTTAATTGTGCCGTATATCAATCAGCTTTTGTTCGGCTTTGTTTGGCTTAGTCGAGAAGAGAGTATAAGTCTCCAAATATTCTTTCGGCTATCTTATGCGTTGCAGTGTTGGCTTTTTGTGTGAATCTTAGGAATAAATTTGAGTTTTAAATCAATCAGCTTTTGTCATGCATTGTTTAAAACGCATCTTACAGGAGATTTGCATTTGTGTCCTATACAATGCAGCTTTTGTTATGAATCCATAGATGAGAGTAAGTCCATACATTTGAGTTATGTATCAAACAGCTTTTGCTAAGCATACCTCAAGTTGTTTTCAGGATTGGAATTTAATGTCAGATCTGAAATTTGTCTGGCCTTAAGGTATATTTGAGTATTGTAGCTGTCAGGAGTAATAACCAGTCTGCGTTGTGTAGCAAGCAGCTTCTGAAAGTTACTGAAAGCTGCAATTAGCGAGGGATCACTGTATATCCTTTACTTCGACTTTCGCAGAGCCTTTCGCTCAAGTTTTTGCTATTATATCTTTATTCGATTTACTCATATTCTGGATATGGTGCCTTCTATGTAATTCTCAGCTCAGCTGTGCTCCTCTTCGTCTTTCTCTTCCTATGCTCCTCTGTCTAGTTGTTGGCTCACCTAACCACTAAGCCACCTGTTGCAAGTTCATTGCCTCTCCGCCGTTGCTGGATGCGTCAGTCATTGCCTTTAAAGTAGACAGACATGGAGGGGGAGAGAGAGAGAGGGGAGAGAGGGGCAGCGTTATTCGAGAACAAGCTGTGGAGATTCACACACAGACCAGAACCCAGCTCAACCCAGTTCAACCTGACCAAATTGGGTCATTTATGGGGTTGGCCTGACCGGGTCTCTCTGCTCCGGCTCCGGCTCCGCTGTGTGGGCTGTGTGCGCTGAGCTGGCTTAGACGGCGCGCAATTATCGTTAAAATGTCGTTAAACAAAAAAATCAATGGAAAAACGATGACGATGTCTCTTAACTTGGCCAAAATGATCTACGAGCGGCGACAATAGAAAAACATCTATATTAATAATAATAATAAATACGAAAATTGTACAAAAATAGCAGCAGACGTTAATCAGCCCACGCAGACGCAGACGCTTGCGCTGCCGCTGCCACTGACACACAGACAGCAACAGCGACTGCGACGGCGCCGGCGACAGCGGCGCTGCGTCGACTGCGTCTGAGCCGCGCTCTGTCTCGCTCTCACCCTATCTTTGTCTTTCGAGAGTGGCCAATTGGGGCGCCTGATAAAGTGGCTCCGCTGCGGCTGATGAGTCATGCGCCGTGCATCAATTTCGAGCAGCATCTGAACTCGCCTGACCGCCGCGGCGAATCCAGTTGGGCAGAGCTCCTTGGAACGCGGCGATGACGCCACAGCTGTCGCTGGCGTTCTGCCTGTAGCTGGTCAGGCTTCATTGGCGATTGGCCGTGGCTTTTTTTTTGCCATACCCTGTAACCACATTGCAAATGGCTGCAAGTGGGCATATTTGCAGGCTGGCATCATCGTGATTAGCATCAACAGTTGAGCCGATATATTATATGTATACACATATCGGCCCATTGCCGATCTATCGATAAATATCAATTTTCAGGTAATGTTCAAGATTCGTTTAGTTATAAAGCAACTCGAGCCTGGCTGCAGGGTATCTTCTGATCGCGCACGACCGACTTAGCACTCTTTCTTGTTTTTAGTGTGTGCGTTTTATAGGCTTTTGCGCGTTGGCCGCTTTACAATTGCGCCAATCTCTCGGCCATGATTTGAAGCCAGTGTCGCGTGGGCCGCGGCGCTGACGTTGACGTTGACGTTAACTGCAAAATAAATCAATAAACCTGAGCCGCAATTGGCACAGAGACACCCGCTATGGCCATATGTCTCTCTGTCTGTCTGCCTGCAACAGTTGCCACCAGTTCGAACCAGAAGCCACATGGCCATTGGCCAAATGCAGTCGCAGCAAGTGAACAGAAACTCCATCAAACGTTGCCGAACTGGTCACGTTGCTGTCTATCGTCTATCGGCAAATGGCCATTGTCTATCGTTAATCGTTTATCGGCTGCTGTCTAGCCACGACGTCTGCGCAGCGTCTGCATGAGTAATTTTTTTCTTCTGCTGCTTTAGAGCTTTTGCTTTTTGTCGCGTGGGGGCGTCTTTTGAATCGTGTTGTTTACAAAAGCCTACGAATTGGCAACTGCAACAATGACACCCACCCAAACATGATCAATACACGAATGCCATTCCACTGATTTACATATACATATATGTACATATATATAATTAATTTAAAATATATATTTTATACATATATACACAGCTGAGCTGTGCCTGGCGCTACGATTGATTGTTCAGCAATTCGGCCGATTCGGCTGTCCACTTGGACACGTTCATTGTTGTTGTTGGGCACTTTGAAGTTTTCCCATTTTTGCACGATCGATTAGCCAAATCCCACTGGCAATATCATTATGGAGTTGCCAACCTTATGCAAATTTGCCTCAACAGTCGTCGCATCATTAGCCAAAACTGAACTGTAATCAGTTGAAACTATATATACGCGCACTTGTCGCACTTTGTATACCCTAATACCCGAACCAAAGTAGAGACAAGAGCTAGCTTTAGGCTGAAATCAATACGGTATAAAAAAGTTCGCTGTAAGTTAAGCTTCGTTAAAAATTGGCGACTCTTGCGCATTCCAGCTTGTCGAATTTTAAATACTCTTACCATATAGGCAATAAGAGTCGGTCAAAATAATTAAATAACATTAAATCATTAGAGAAGGAGAAGTGCGAGAGGCGCTTTTCTTAAAAAATTAATCAGTATTTTGTTTAAAATTAAAATTCGAACATTACATACAACATATAAAATTGGAAGATTTTTTTACCAAGTCAGAATAAAATATAAAAATTTATATACATATTTATATATGTATATTTTCCATTTTCAAGCAATCGTTGATATAGAGAATGGGTTTCATTTGAACTCTAATCATAAGAAAAATGATATAAATAGCAATTTCAGTGCATAGATTTCAATAATTCAATATAGATTTTTCCATTTATTGGTAATTGAATACATAACCTATAATTTGAGTGTGTCGATTTCACAGTATTCCTCTATAAACACAGCCATAAGCTATGTATGTTTATTACGGCTATAACAGCACTTTAAACAAATCCATTACCATTGTACACATGTACCTATAAAGTCAATATAAACATAGTTTCTTAAACATTAAACAAAGATATCAGAAATAAACTTTTCAATAAATCGTTATTCGAAACGTGCGTCAAATACAGGAACTGCCCCACGAACCTAACCTTAAACAATATACAAAAAAATAAGCAATATCTACTCTACTTACAGCGAGTCATTCTCACTCTGAGCTCCAATTAGTCATAGCTTATGCAAAAACAAATTCCAATTTGGACTAGGTGCATATTCTTTATAGGGTAGTCGATGTGGTCCTATAGAACAACAGCAAGAAACTCGCCGTTACAAACTGTTGTTGTTGTTCTGCTGCTGCTGCTCGTCTTGTTGTTGTTGTTTTCGCAGCCTCACTCTAAGCCGCTGTTTTTGTTTTGTTTTGTTTTGTTTTTCATGTGTTACTTTGCGCACATAAAAAGGCAGCGCAGCTGACAGCGGCCGCTGCACTGATAGCGGGGGCAACTCACACGCATACGCATACAAGCCGAGGCAGCAGCGCGCACACGCACACACACGCACACATATAGCCCTCGATCGACGGCGACGACGCCGACGACGACGACGACGACGTCGCTGTCATCTTCGCGGTGTTGTTGTCGGTATTCGGTCATATCTCTGCTGCTGACTGCGCGGCGCTGTCGTCATCAGCTGCGCTGCTGCGGCTGCTGTCTAAGCTTCGGCCGGTTGGCCGTCCACTTTACGCGGCTTTGATTCTGAATGGGCGAACTTCAGTCTGATTTTGGTGCTCGATCGATTGCAACGTGCCGACGCTCGGTTTTAAAAACGAAACTCAACTCCCCAGAAGAAGAAGAAGCAGCAGCTTACCAACAACAACAAGAACAACAACAAGGCACAGCACAGAATTGTTTTAATTTTTTTTTTGTTTGCTTGTTATTGTACATATTCCCACACACACACATATATATTTTTTTGGCCAACCAAAAAACTCGCAGCGACTTTTGATTTATTTGCCGTACGAGCTTAAAGAACATAAGCCCAAAAAGCACGAATCCAGCGAGAAACGGCAACAGGATTAGTCACACCCAACCCAACCCGACCAAGTGTTTGTTTGTGTGTTTGCCGGTGGTGCAACATAAAATAAGTATAAATAAAAAGCGAAATACGCAAAAAAAAAAAAAACAACAACACAACGAACCCAACAACAACTCAACGAAATTCGAGAAAAGGGCGCAGTTTGAAAAAAGATAACGACATTTTTTTGTTACCTGCCAGCTATTGTGTGCTTCTGTCATTTGGAGGAGCCACTGTGATTAGCCCACCTATAGACAGGTAAATTAA